GAGTGCAGTGGCACAATCGCAGCTCACTGTAGCCTTGACCTCCCAGGCTCAAACAGATCCTCCCACCCCAGACTCCCAAGTGGCTGGGACTATAGATATGAGTCACCACACCCAGCTAATTTAAACCTTTTTAAAATTTTATTTTGAAATGGAGTTTCACTCTTGTTTCCCAGACTGGAGTGCAATGGTGCGATCTCAGCTCACTGCAACCTCTGCATCCCAGGTCAAAGTGATTCTCCTGCCTCAGCCTCCCGAGTAGCTTGGATTACAGGCACTCACCACCACACCCAGCTATTTTAGTAGAGATGGGGTTTCAGCATGTTGGCCATGCTGGTCTTGAACTCTTGGCCTCAAGTGATCTGCCCGCCTCTGTCTCCCAAAGTTCTGGGATTACAGGCATCAGCCACTGCACCTGGCCCATGTCTTGTATTCCTTTTTTCCTTCTTCTTTTGTTATATTCAGTCTTCATAGAGACTGTCAAAAATTGCCAATGCGTCATCATGGTGGGGTATTGGGAAAAGTTTTCAATTAGCAATAATCATGCCTGGAAGAAACCTCATTGGCTATGATACCGCCACGCACAAAGCTCAGATATTCCATTCTAGCAATGCGAAATGGAAATTAGCACAGAAAATTAGCGGAGGGGTCATTGCTATAAAGATACCTGAAGATGTGGAAGCTGCTTTAGAACTGGGTAATGGGCAGAGGTGAGAAGAGTTTGGAGGGCCGATAAGAAGATAAGACCATGAGGGAAATTTTGGAACTTCTTTTTTTCTTTTTTTTTGAGACGGAGTTTCGCTCTTGTTACCCAGGCTGGAGTGCAATAGCGCGGTCTCGGCTCACTGCAACCTCCGCCCCCTGGGTTCAGGCAATTCTCCTGCCTCAGCCTCTTGAGTAGCTGGGATTACAGGCACGCGCCACCGTGCCCAGCTAATTTTTTGTAATTTTTAGTAGAGACGGGGTTTCACCATGTTGACCAGGATGGTCTCGATCTGTTGACCGCGTGATCCACCCGCCTCGGCCTCCCAAAGTGCTGGGATTACAGGCTTGAGCCACCGCGCCCGGCCTGGAACTTCTTAGATTGGTTATATGGTTGTGATCAAAATGCTGATGGAAATGTGGGGAGTGAAATCCAGGCTGATGAAGCCCCAGGTGGAAATGAGGAATTGCTGGGAACTGGAGTAAAGGTGACGTGTGCTATAATCTAGCAAACAGCCTGGCCACATTGTATCCACGCTCTAGGGATCTGCAGAAGGTTGAACTAAGAATGATGACCTGGGGTCTCTAAGCTTCAAAGTGTTCAGGTAGTGATGTGGCAGCTTCTTTTTGAGACGGAGTTTCGCTCTTGTTACCCAGACTGGAGTGCAATGGCGCAATCTCGGCTCACCGCAACCTCCGCCTCCTGGGTTCGGGCAATTCTCTTGCCTCAGCCTCCCGAGTAGCTGGGACTACTGGCGCGCACCACCATGCCCAGCTAAGTTTTTGTATTTTTAGTAGAGATGGGGTTTCACCTTGTTGACCAGGATGGTCTCGATCTCTTGACCTCGTGATCCACCCGCCTCGGCCTCCCAAAGTGGTGGGATTACAGGTGTGAGCCACCACACCCGGCCGATATGGCAGCTTCTAAACAGCCTATGAGCAGATACAGGAGCAAAGACATATGACTTAAAGTTGGAATTTATAATTAAAAGGGTGCCAGGCATGGTGGTTCAGCTGGATGTGGTGGCTCACACCTGTAATCCCAGCACTTTGGGAGGCCGAGGCAGGTGGATCACTTGAGGTCAGGAGTTCAAGATCAGCCTGGCCAACATGGTGAAACTCTGTCTCTACTAAAAATACAAAAATGAACCAGGAATGGTGGTGGGTGCCTGTAATCCCAGCTACTTGGGAGGCTGAGGCAGGAAAATCACTTGAACCCAGTAGGTGGAGGTTGCAGTGAGCTGAGATCGTGACATTGTACTCCAGCCTGAGCGACATAGTGAGACTTTGTCTCAAAAAATAAGAAAAAAAAAAAAAAAAAACAGGGCCAGCACAGTGGCTCATGCCTGTAATCTCAGCACTTAGGGAGGCCAATGTGGGCGGATCATGAAGTCAGGAGTTCGTGACCATCCTGACTAACATGCTGAAACCCTGTCTGTACTAAAAATAGAAAAATTAGCTGGGAATAGTGGCATGTGCCTATAGTCCCAGCTACATGGGAGGCTGAGGCAGAAGAATTGCTTGAACCCAGGAGGTGTAGGTTACAGTGAGTTGAGATCACACCACTGCACTCCAGCCTGGGTGACAAAGCAAGAGTGTCTCAAGACAAAAAATAAAATAAAATAAAAAGGGGGGAAAGCGGTCAGGCTCTGTGGCATGTGGCATGTGCCTGCAGTCCTAGCTACTTGGGGGCTGAGGTGGGAGGATTGTTTGAGCACAGGAGTTCTGGGCTGTACTGTATTATGCTGACTGGTGTAGGGAGCCAGCCCCACACCCATCCATGGGTACCCTGAGTTCAGTGGTGACAAAGGAATTAGAAAAAGATAGATTAGGATAGAAAGCAGGACCAGGGGATGATCACTTCTTTACTGGAGGCAGTGAAGGCCCAGTATATACTGAACACGATCGCTATTATCTGTAGTGCAGGCGGCAGGGTGAGTCGGTGGAGGGAGGCTGTGCATGAAACACATAATTGTTAACAGTGGCAGTTCATGTGAGTTTCTCAAGCGCTAAAAACGTAGACGACGTACCAATAGACAACGTAGCTGGTGGGCCTACAAGTCTGGTTACTTTGTAATGCTGCAAAAGGGTTTAAAGCCCTTGAGCGTGTTATGTACTGTTACAGAGTCAAGGTCACTCTGCACGTGGAACAAGAAGGCTTGGGGACGTCTGCCTCCCCACAGGCCGGGCAGTTTGCTGCTTTTTACTGTTCCCACCGTTTGCAGCTATTTTACAGAGGCACTCTGTGAGCCCTCCTTCCATTGCCGTCCCCCCCAGCAACTGGGTGTCCGTACTAAGTTTGGCTTCCATATGGTAACCTCCCAGGAGCGGGAGACGACCAGGTTGCCTGGCAAGGGGTGAACTAGCCTAAGGCTGGAAATGGAGCAGGTCAAAACTCCTGATCGACGTGAGTGGGATCATGGCAGTGAATAGCCACTGTACACCGCCTGGGTGACACAGCGAATAGCCACTGCACACCAGCCTGGGTGACACAGTGAAACCCTGTCTCTGGAAAATAAATACATACATAAATAGGAAGCAGCACAGCAGAAAAGTTTGGAAAAATCACAAACTGGCAATGTGGAAGAGAAGAAAGAGCATTTTTTTTGAGATAGAGTCTCACTCTGTAGCCCAGGCTGGAGTGTAGTGGTGTGATCTTAACTCACTGCAACCTCCGTCTCCTGGGTCCTGGTTCAAGCAATTCTCCTACCTCAGCCTCCCAAGTAGCTGGGATTACAGGTAGGAGCCACCATGCCCAGCTAATTTTTGTATTTTTTAGTAGAGACAGGGTTTCACCATGTTGGTCAGTCTGGTCTTGAACTCCTTACCTCATGATCCACCCACCTCAGCCTCTCAAAGTGTTAGGATTACAGGCATGAGCCAATGCACTTGGCTTTTTTTTTTTTTTTGAAAGTGAGTCTCGATTTGTTGCCCAGACTGGAGTGAAATGGCACGATCTCAGCTCACTGCAATCTCTGCCTCCTAGGTTCAAGCGATTCTCCTGCCTCAGCCTCCTGAGTTGCTGGCCTTTTTCTTGAAAATTAGTCATTTGAATTTTGCAATAATTTCTATAGTTATTAAACAGGCTATTGAATCCATCCACAAAACTTAAAATGCAATACTTAACAACAGGGCCTTAAATAAAATAAATGCCAGCTCTCTGATCTCACGGCCAACAACCTGAGATTCCTGCCATCTGGTCCCAGTTCAGGACCTTTGCGCCTGCTGTTAACCCTCCCCGTCCCCCGATCTTGCTTCTATCTGGCCTTTGTTCAAATGACACTTCAGAGGAGCCTTCCGTTATCACCCTTTATAAAATGGCCTCACTCTCACTTCCCATCCCTTTACTCTGCTCTGTCCTTCTTTATTATGCTGGTCACCATCTCAAATTATTATTATTATTTTAAGATAGAGTGTCGCTCTTGTCACCCAGGCTGGAGTGCAATGGCGGTGATCTCTGCTCAGGGCAACCTCTGGCTCCTGGGTTCAAGCGATTCTTCTGCCTCAGCCTCCAGAGTAGCTGAGGTTACAGGCTCACACCACCATGCCCGGCCAATTTTTGTATTTTTTTGTAGAGACGGGGTTTCACCATGTTGGCCATGCTGGTCTCGAACAATTGATCTCGGGTGATCCGCCTGCCTCGGCCTCCCAAGTGATGGGATTACAGGAGTGAGCCACCGGGCCCAGCCCTCAAACTATCTTTATTCAGTCAAGCGCTTTTATTGTCTCCCTCAGTACAATGTAAGCCCAAGCAGGAGAAGACTTTGCTTTAGTCACGTGCTGTAGCCCCCAAAGCCCAGACAGTGCCTAGCACATACGAGATGCTCGATGAGCAGTTGATTGAATAGATTAGACATCAACGCAATCAGGCTATTCACTTAGGGACTCTTTGCTAGGCGGCGGAGAGGTACGTTACAGTACTCTACGCAACACGCATGCGCGAAAAAAATCAGGGAAGTGTGATCGGGAAAGGGGCGGAGCGTCAGAGAGAGTCTCGTGGACATAGGCGGTTCGGAGCGGAAAGCGGCAGGTGGAGGGGCGTCTTGGGGCTGAGCGCGCGCGCGCGCAGCGCAGACGCCAGCTCCAGGAGACTGAGATACTCAAGGTGCCCGAAGGCGGGGTAGTGACCTCGCGCGTGCGCTTTGCCCGCGACGGCGCCTGGGCCTGGTGTGTGGGTAGGTCTTGGCCTCTCGCGGCGCATGCGCAGTGCTGACGGCGGAGGGATTTCAGGTCGAGACCCACCCCCTGCTCCAGTCGGTAGCTGAGGCCGCGCGGGTTGTTGAGCAGCGGCCTTGTGCGCTCGCTGCGCGGGCAAGGGAGTCAGGCAGACGCGGACGCCGTCGGAGTGGAAGCCAAAGCGGAAGTTCTTGTTGCTGAGGGGCCGCCGCAGCCGCCCCGAGCCTCCGGACCGACGCCAGACCCAGGAGGGCGCCGCGCGGCGAGTGAGTGTGGCCGAGTGGTCCGATGGGGTGCTGGGCCGCTACCCACAAGCCCCTGCGGTGGGCCCCGGTACTTTTACCTGCAGCCAGGCCCCTTTGCCGCGTCCCCTGCTGCAGGTCCCTTCTGCATCCCTTTCCCGAAACCCGAGCCCTCTGCGCACCCACGCCTGCTTCCCGTAGCGTCCTAGGTCCCCTACCCACAGGCCCTTGCGGTGTATGGCCTTTTTTCTTTTTCGTCTTTCCATGTTGTCCTGGACCTTTACCCATAATTCCTTTCGTCTTGGGGGCGCCCAGGTCTGTTACCCACAGGCGCTTGGCTTTGGGGCGTCGCTGCTTATGTTTCTCTTTGCCCGGAGACTTCAGACCTCCAGGCCTCTGCAAACCGCATCTCATAATTTGTCCTCCAAGATACGAGACGAGCAGCCAGCCACAACTGCTCTGTGCCTCCTTTCTCGGGTCCTTGATTCCCCCAGAAATCCCCAGGGAAGCTCTCCGCCACACAGCTCGTGGGTCAGGACTCTGAGACCTCACTGCTCAGGAACCCTTTTCCAGCCTTTGTTTTTTGTTTCCTTTACGGGCCTGATTTTCACCTCCACCCCCACCAAGAGATGCCCTTTTCTCTTCTAGCGTAGGACGGTTCTCTGCCCTTTCAGAGCCTCTTCGAATTCCGAGACTTTACTCCTGTTTTCTCTCTCTTTCTTTTTTTTTTTTTTTGAGAGTCAGGGGACAAATAGGGGCTTTCTCTGTGCAGACCCAATCTAACCTAAGGCTGTCCTGCTTCTGCTCTCAGACTTGGCAAGATGACCCAGTTCCTGCCGCCCAACCTTCTGGCCCTTTTTGCCCCCCGTGACCCTATCCCATACCTGCCACCCCTGGAGAAACTGCCACATGAAAAACACCACAATCAACCTTACTGTGGCATTGCGCCGTACATTCGAGAGTTTGAGGTGAGTTCACTGAGCAGGCCAGGAATGGTTTGGGTTGTGGGGTGCAAGGATTGGATCTGGGAGTCCAGCCTCTGACTGGATTTGCTAGCTGTGTGATTTAAGCGACTGGCTTCATCTTTGTGATCCTCAGTTTCCCTGTTTTAAATGGGGTTGGAGCCAGGTGTGGTCGAGTGCACCTGTAGTTCCAGCTACTCAGGAGGCTGAGGTGGGAGGATTGCTTGAGCCCAGGAGTTGGAGGCTGGATTGCTTTGTGATTGCGCCACTATACTCCGGCCTCGGTGACAGAACAGGACCTCATCTCTTAAAAAAAATTTTTTTTTTTTTTTTTTTAAAGTGGACTTGTGGCCAGGTGCGGTAGCTTATGCTTGTAATTTCCAGTACTTTGGGAGGCTGAGGCGGGTGGATCACCTGAGGTCAGGAGTTCAAGACCAACCTGGCCAACATGATGAAATCCTGTCTCTACTAAAAATAGGAAAATTAGCTGGGCATGGTGGTGGGTACCTGTAATCCCAGCTACTTGGGAGACTGAGGCAGGAGAATCACTTGAACCCGAAGGGCAGAGGTTGCAGTGAGCCCAGATGGAACCGTTGCACTCCAACCTGGGCGATAGAAAGTACTGTCTCCGAACAAACAGACAAAGTGAGGCTGGGCTCAGTGGCTCACACCTGTAATCCCAGCACTTTGGAAGGCTGAGGCAGGTGGATCACCTGAGGTCAGAAGTTCAAGACTAGCCTGGTCAATATGGTGAAATCCCATCTCAACTAAAAATACAAAACTTAACCGGGCGTGATGGTGCTTCCTAGTCCCAACTACTTGGGAGGCCGAGGCAGAAGAATCACTTGAACCCGGGAGGCAGTCATTGCAGTGAGTCGAGATTGTCCCACTGTACTCCAGCCTGGGCAACAGAGTGAGGCTCCCATTTCAAAAAAAAAGTGGGGTTGATGGTATACCTTTTGTAGAATTTCTGTGAGAAAGTTCAGTTGAGTAGTGGTTGAGGATTCACACTTGGCTTGCACCATTTAATAGCTCTGTGAGTTTGGGCAAATGTGTATCTTAATGCATTGGTTTATCTTTAGCAAGGGGATAGTGGTAGCACCCCTCATACTGTTGGTGGAGAATTAAATGGCAATGTGTATGTCAGGGGGCTTGGCATCAAGCAGGCAGCCTATGTCGGCCTTTGCTACTCTGTTTACTACTTTTATTGTTAATAAGATGGTGTTCATAAAGGGCTAGCACCGAGCGTTGGAGGGCTTAAAACCCCAGACCAGGATCTTAGCTCTGCACCTTCAGGGTAAATGACTTCAGGAATGAATGACTTAGGCTCCTGGACCTCTCTGTTTTTATTTGTGAAATTGGGATGACAATGGTCATCTTGTAGGCGTGTCTGAGGACACCTGAGGAAAGCTGGCACACAGCCAGAAGTTACAAGAACATTCTCGAATTGGGTAGGAATGGGCAGCTGGAGGTGGAGGGAGTTGCAGAGCAGAACTTCTTAGATAGGACGGGCGCGGTGGCTCACACTTGTAATCTCAGCACTTTGGGAGGCTGAGGCAGGCAGATCACGAAGTCAGGAGTTGGAGACCAGCCTGGCCAATGTAGTGAAACTCTGTTTCTACTAAAAATACCAAAACTACCTGGGCGTGGTGGCACGTGTCTGCAGTCCCAGCTACTTGGGAGGCTGAGGCAAGAGAATCGCTTGAACTTGGAAGGTGAAGGTTGCAGTGAGCCGAGATCACACTATTGCAGTCCAGCCTGGTCGACAGAGTGAGACTCCATCTCAAAAAAAAAAAAAAAACCAAGTTCACAGATAATAGGAAGGTGGATCTTCATTGGGATTTGCCACCCTGGATGAACCAGCACTTAAGAAATGTTACTAGCCAATTAACTTAATTTAGTGGGCACAGGCAGGTGGTAGATGCCCTTTGATGATGATGTGCCAGTTACTATTTATGAGACTGAGTTTCACTTTTGTTGCGCAGGCTGGAGTGCAGTGGTGTGATTTCAGCTCACTGCAGCCTTCAGTTCAAGCAGTTCTGCCTCAGCCTTTCCAGTAGCTGGGATTACAGGCATGTGCCACCATGCCTGGCTAATTTTGTATTGTTAGTAGAGATAGGGGTTCGCCATGTTGGCCAGGCTGGTTTTGAACCCCTGACCTCCAGTGATCCACCAGCCTTGACCTTCCAAACTGCTGGGGTTACAGGCGTGAGCCACCACGTCCAGCAACCAGTTACTATTTAATGCATGGTTGGTGACACCTTTAAGTGCTGCCCTGGCGCTCAGAGGGTGTGCAGTGTGGGCTTCGGAGTCCTGTCCTGTCAGCTCATGTTGCTTCAGGCCTGGTCCTCTTAACTGACTCTCATAAACAGGGCCCTCCCGTAACTCCGCTCCCATCACATCTTCTGGCACTTTGTTCAATGTGAGTGATGCTTGGAGCTGTGAGAAGCAGCGTGTTTCCTGAATATGGAAGACAGGGACCTTCAGCACTGTATTTTTAAGCTAGGTGTCACCTGTGCCAGTGCTTTTCAAACTGTCATTGGTGAAGGGCAGTTTACAATCTGTTGCAGATTGATGCTTTTGATAAATAGGATAGAATTACTTTTTTTTTTTTTTGCGACGGAGTTTCGCTCTTGTTACCCAGGCTGGAGTGCAATGGCACGATCTCGGCTCACCGCAACCTCCGCCTCCTGGGTTCAAGCAATTCTCCTGCCTCAGCCTCCCGAGTAACTGGGACTACAGGCGTGCACCACCATGCCCAGCTAATTTTTGTATTTTTAGTAGAGACGGTGTTTCACCTTGTTGACCAGGATGGTCTCCATCTCTTGACCTCATGACCTGCCTTGGCTTCCCAAAGTGCTGGGATTATAGGCGTGAGCCACTGCGCCCAGCCTAGAATTACTTTTTAAAGAAAGACTTACAGTCAGAAGTTCTAGACCAACCTGGCCAATATGGTGAAACCTCCTCTCTACTAAAAGTACAAAAATTAGCCAGCATAGTGTCGTTTACCTGTAATCCCAGGTACTCAGGAGGCTGAGGCAGGAGAATCACTTGAACGATTCTAGTCAGTTCCTGGGTTCCTTTTAGAAACACACGATTGCTAGTGGGTTCCTTGTAGAGACAGCACAGAGGGGAAAGCAGGACGTAGAATCGCTTGAACCTGGGAGGTGGAGGTTGCAGTGAGCCGAGGTCGCGCCATTGTACTCCACCCTGGGTCACATAGCAAGACTTTGCATCAAAAAATAGAAGACCTGGCGGGGCGCGGTGGCTCAAGGCTGTAATCCCAGCACTTTGGGAGGCCGAGGCGGGTGGATCACGAGGTCGAGAGATTGAGACCATTCTGGTCAACATGGTGAAACGCCATCTCTACTAAAAATACAAAAAATTAGCTGGGCATGGTGGCGTGTGCCTGTAATCCCAGCTACTCAGGAGGCTGAGGCAGGAGAATTGCCTGAACCCAGGAGGCGGAGGTTGCGGTGAGCCGAGATCGCGCCATTGCACTCCAGCCTGGGTAACAGGAGCGAAACTCGGTCTCAAAAAAAAAAATAAATAAAATAAAATAGAAGACCTGCAGAATAAAAGACCAAATTTGTATTAGTCAGTGAGCGTAAAACTGTGAAATTACTGTAGAAGTTTCTTAGCACTTACTCCTGGTTTCTGTACTTCTCACAGTCCAGCAGGTTTGGATAGTGCTGGTCCATGGACTGTGCTTCTTTTCTAAGATAGGGTCTTATTCTGTCATCCAGGTTGGAGTGCACTGTCACAGTCATTGTTCATGGCCGCCTCGCTCTCCAGTGCCCAAGAGATCCTCCTCCTTAGCCACCCTAGTAGCTGGGACTATAGACGTGTGCCCCCACACCTGGCTTATTTGTAAATTTTTAGTAGAGATGGTGTTTCACTGTGTTTCCCAGGCTGGTCTGAAACCCCTGGGCTCAAGCATTCTTCCTGTGTCATCCCCCCCAAAGTGATGAGATTACAAGTGGAAGCCACTGTGTGTGGCTGCAGACCATGCTTTGATCTGTGCCACTCCTCTCCCTCCACAGTGACTGGGGAAGTGTACATGTGTGTGTGTTTTTGTAGTGGGGGTGGGAGGGGTGACATGCCTATTTCCTTGGTGAGCGTCCCTTTCCGTTTCCCCTAGTCCTTCCCACCCTGTCACCTCTCTTCTTGTTCCTAGGACCCTCGAGATGCCCCTCCTCCAACTCGTGCAGAAACCCGAGAGGAACGCATGGAGAGGAAAGTATGTCATTTTTGTTTCCAGAGCCCCACCTTTCGCTGTTTTCTCCACATGGTCCTTGACACCAGGGTACTTCTATCTGCGTTTACTTATCCACCTCCCCTTTCTCATGACAGAGACGGGAGAAGATTGAGCGGCGACAGCAGGAAGTGGAGACAGAGCTCAAAATGTGTAAGTCTCTCATCCACTGTTCTCCCCGCTGTGTTCTTTCCAGGTCACTCAGTATCCTGCTGTCTCCCAAAGGCCTGTTTTTGGGGGAGCAGGATTGTTCTTTTATTTGGTCCCTGCCACTTGGCAAGCCCTGTTTTTGGTTTGGGCTTTTCAGCAGCAGAATATGGGGTAAAAGTTGGTGGGAAGGGAGACCCCTGGTACCTTGGGCTCTTCCTGCAGGGGAGGACAGTTATAAGGGGCTCCCACAACCCAGCTGGGTCTCAGGCTGAGGCAGCGAGTTGTGGGCTAGTGGGTCCGTCCCAGCTCTACCCTTAGCTCCCTGACCTTTGGGCTGAGGACGTTCATCCCCTCCACGTATCAGAGGAATTGGGAGTACAGGACAGGTGTATTGTCGTCATTAACCAAACCGATAAGCTCAGTTATCAACCTCCAGTGGCTCTTTATTGTGAGAGTGAAAACTCACGCAGCATAGTGATATTTCAGTCAGCAGGGCACCACAGCTGTGACGGTGAGCCCATGTGATTAGACTATATTTTGCTGGGCGCGGTGGCTCATGCCTATAATCCCGTACTTTGGGAGGCTGAGGCAGGTGGACTGTGAGGTCAGGAGTTTGAGATCAGCCTGGCCAGCCTGGTGAAACTCTGTCTATATACAAATAAAAATTAGCCGGGTGTGGGGGTGCGTGCCTGTAATCCCAGTTACTCGGGAGGCTGAGGCAGGAGAATCTCGAACCTGGGAGGTGGAGGTTGTTGCCATTGTACTCCACCCTGTGCAACAAGCCGGGCGCGGTGGCTCACGCCTGTAATCCCAGCACTTTGGGAGGCCGAGGCGGGCGGATCAAGAGGTCAAGAGATCAAGACCATCCTGGCCAACATAGTGAAACCCCGTCTCTACTAAAAATACAAAAAATTAGCTGAGCGTGGTGGCGCTCGTCTATAGTCCCAGCTGCTTGGGAGGCCGAGGCCCGAGAATTGCTTGAACCCGGGAGGCAGAGGTTGCAGTGAGCGGAGATCGCACCACTGCACTCCAGCCTGGCGCCTGGTGACAGAACAAGACTCTGTCTCAAAAAAAAAAAAAAAGGGTCCAGTGGGCTGGGGGAGGGTAGAGATGAACCAAGTTTGGCCGCACGTTGATGATGGAAGCGGCTTGTGGGAGTTTGTTGTACTGTTCTCCACTTCTGTTAGATGCTTGAACTTCTCCATAATAGAAGAGGAAGAGTGGGTTCAGTAGGGGTTCTGTGCCCTTGAGAGCCTCCACTCCTAACTAGAGAAGCTTGCTGTGCCTCGTCCAGTGACCAGCTCCCGTCAAGGGGACTGTGCTCCCTGCTGAACACTTGTCCTTCCTGTTACTGACTTCTCACGGCTTCCAAGCGCCTCAGGGGTTGCTTCTCCCATTTTCAAGATGAAGAAATGGAGGCTTGTTGAGGCAGGCCTGCTTACAAGAGTGAGGGTTCTAAGATGGGGCTTCCACCCCAAAGCCTAATGACGTTTCCCAACTTCACGGCCCAGTTCCTTTGAGTCCCGGCTCTGGGCTGCTGTTTAGATGAGGCCTTAGCCAATGATTTCCTAAGGGTGGAGCCGCCGGCGGGGCCTGCACGGACACCCTGGCTGGTGGGGTGCTGACTGGCACTGGCTCTGTGCCACCCTCTTTCAGTCATGCTCTTCAGTACTTACGTACCATTGCTTTGCTGCACTTTTACCTTTAGTCGCGGTCGTGCCCCACCGCACCCCACCCGCCCTGGGTAAGCGAGCACTCCTGGGAACTCACGCCGTGCACTGGGGTGGGTTCCCTCTGGCTGCCCTTCGTTCACGCACCCAACCCCACAGCGTCATTGGTCCCACTGTAGTGTGTAGAGACCAGCCCTACAGGGTCGTGGGGTGTCCCCTGTCTCATCCTTGGTAACTTAGAGCAGCTACTGTCTGGTGTTGCCAGGTGTGTTTCCCCATGGCTGTGACAAATCTTCTGCTCTTCATTAAATGTCAGCATCTTATGAGGTCTCTCCTAACCCCTTATAAAATCACCCCTTTCTATGTCTGTCATTATCTGATGTGATCACATAATCTCCTTCCGTTAGCATATGAACCCTGTGAGGGTAGACACCTTTTTTGTCTTTTTGTTTGTTTTTTGAGACAGTCTCACTCTGTCACTCAGGGTGGAGCGCCGTGGTGTGATCTCGGCCTCTGCAGCCTTTGTCGCCTCTGGTTCTTAGCGATTCTCTTGCCTTAGACTAGCTGGACCATGCCTAGCTAACTTCTTTCTGTATTTTTAGTAAAAACGAGGTTTTTCTGTGTTGGCCAGGCTGGTCTCAAACTCTTGGTCGCAGGTGATCCTCCTGCCTTGGCCTCCCAGAGTGCTGGGATTACAGGTGTGAGGCACCGCGCCTGGCACTTTTTTTGTCTTGTTTACTGCCAAATCCCCAACAACTATAGCATTTCCAGGCACATAGTAAGTGCTTAAGAATTACCTAGTTACAAAAACACAAACATGGGGGACCAAAAAAAGAAGTACCTGCTCAATGAGTGAGAGTTACGTGGTGCAAAAAATAAAATAAAATAAAATAAGCCAGTGCAGATTGAGAGACCTGGACAAAGAAAATTACAAAACTGAGGGATGAGGTATGGCAAGGACCTTTTTTTATTCTTTTAAACAGTCTTACTGTTGCCCAGGCTGGAGTGCTTTGGTGCCATCTCAGCTCACTGCAACCTCCACCTCCTGGGCTCAAGCGATTCTCCTGCCTCAGCCTCCGAGTAGCTGGGACTGCAGGCACACGCCACCACCATGCCCGGGTAATTTTTTTTTTGTAGAGACGGGGTTTCTCCATGCTGGTCAGGCTGGTCTCAAACTCCTGACCTCATGTGATCTGCCCTCCTCAGCCTCCCAAAGTGCTGGGATTACAGGTGTGAGCCACCGTGCCCGGCCTGGCAAGGAACTTCAAGGAGTGGGAAGGGAGCACGCCGAGATGGAGTAGATTTCAGATGTTTCCATCCGTCCTGTGTAGCGATTCCCTTACATTGCGGCTCGGGCTGCTGGGTTTGAGGCATTCCTTAAAGCCGTCTTGACCTTAGTTTGGGCTTGGAGTCGAATCCTCTCCCAGGAAACGAATCTGAGACTTTATTTCTCTAGCTTCCGGCAACACCTGCTGTCTTCCTGAAAAGGTGGCACCCGGGGACTTGGGGCAGGAGCCTAGTAGTGGGAATACCTGGGCTGGGAGGGGAAGTCGGCCTTGCCCTTTGCCACTTTGACCACCTCCCTTTTCTGTGTCTTGAGTTTGTTCTGTTTTGCTTCCATTTACAAAGTAGTAATAAATAAGTTTCAGTGTCCGGCACTGTCTGGGCCATAGTATGTGCTCAGTAAATTATATGCCTAGTGTTCCATTATTGGAACGCTAAGCATGTGGGAGTCATTTATATCCTACTGCTCAAGATCATTGCCAAGGTCTGATTTTTCACATCTGCGGGTCAGAAAGTTGTACCCTCCGGCATAAATGGGTTACTGTTACTCATATTCTCCCAGAATGTGCTGGCTTCTGAGGGGACACTGTACCAAGGAAGAAAGGGCAGAGTGTCCTGAGAGCCCAACAGCAGTCAGGGTCATTATGTGCCGGGGCCATCCCATTTGGGGAAAAGGACTCATTCCCAGGCCTGACCCAGCACAATCACCTGTGGATGTGGTTTCTTAGGAGACTCCTGGCTCTTCTCTTTGGAGATTGTTATTCCTCAGTAGCCAGATAGGACAGTTTGCCTAACAGTAATGGGGCTGGAGTGAGAATCTCATTTGATGCTCGTCAGTCCCTGGGTTTTTTTTTTTTTTTTTTAGAGACACAGGGCACACGGGAAAGCAGGCCTTAGATAAGCTTGGCTCTCCTGGCTCTCATTCTTAGCCTTGGAGCCGTAGGTCTCAGGTTTTCCTGTGGGCTGTAGTTGCAGTCTGTGTCCAGCGGGTGGCATTGTGGCTCTGCTAATGGAGGGACCTCAGAACCTGGGGGCATCAGCTGTATCTCCAGGGAGGCCCTTTTGGACTGTTTGGATCACCTTGCATCTGGGAGCAATGGGGCCCTTGTGGCTTCTGTAGGTCTGAAATGGTAGTTGGGCCTGCCATACCCTGTCAGCTGGAAGTCAGCCTGACCTCCTCCCCTCAGCAGCCTGGATTATCATCTCTCAGCCACTCTGGTAAAGGCTACTGTGCCTTAGAGAAATAGGTTCAGAGAGGGGCATGCTTGAAGTTACCAGGTCACCACCCATGTTCCTCCAGTTAGGGGCTCTCCCAGTGCCCTCTCTTTTTTCTCGGCCTCTGCCCATCTGTATTTGTTTTGCTCCCTGAGACTGTGGACACCTTCAGCTTACAAAATTCCTTTCTTCCTACACAGGGGACCCCCACAATGATCCCAATGCTCAGGGGGATGCCTTCAAGACACTCTTCGTGGCAAGAGTGGTAAGTCCCCAGCTGCCGAGAGCCTGGGCCTGGGACAAAGGGCAGATAGGCTAGGACCCAGGGGACGTTCCGGGGACCTCCCGTTTCCCGTTTAACGTCGTCTCCATCTCCTTGTAGAACTACGACACCACAGAGTCCAAGCTCCGGAGAGAGTTTGAGGTGTATGGACCCATCAAAAGAGTAAGTGGAGTGGGTCAGGGTGTTTGAATGGGGCGTGCGTGGAGGAGGGCTGTAGCCTGAAAGGGAGGCGAGCTCCCAGCCCTGGGCCTGGCTCGCAGCATTTCAGGGCCCGGGCTGATGTACCCTGAGTGAATCTGCATGCAGCAGGCCTTGGGGAGCAGGAGTCAGATGAGAGGTAGTGACTGTAGTGACTGACTGCTGGGGGCTGGTTCAGAGCAGGGGGCTGGCAAACTGCAGACTTACTGCTTGTAAATACAGTCTTACTGGCTCATCTGGGAAGCTGTTTGTTTATACATTGTCTTTGGCTGCCTTTTTTTTTTTTTTTTTTGAGACAGTTCAGCTCTGTTGCCCAGGCTGGGGTGCAGTGGTGCAATCTCGGCTCACTGCAACCTCCACCTCTTGAGTTCAAGTGATTCTCCTGCCTTAGTCTCCTGAGTAGCTGGGATTACAGGTGCCCGCCACGACGTCCAGCTAATTTTTGTATTTTTAGTAGAGACGGGGTTTCACTGTGTTGGCCAGGCTGGTGTTGAACTCCTGACCTTGTGATCTACCAGCCTCCCAAAGTGCTGGTATTACAAGCATCAGCCACCACGCCCGGCCTGGCTGCTACTGTCGTAAGGCAGGTTTGGGTTGTTACAGCAGAATAGAAGGCTGTCACAGCTGGAAGTAAGCTACTCTCTTGGCCTTTGCAGAATGTGTATGCGGACTCTTGTTTTAGAGGAAGACTTTGTTTTACTGATCTTCTTTTGAGTTACTTAAGTGCTCTGTGCCTGATTTTCTTTACCTAAAGTGGGAGACAAATGTCTTCACTGAGCAGTAGTAAGAGTCTGAGACCGTCCCGCACGAAAACTGACATTAGACAAAAACTGACATTAGCTGTGTCTGTTCTCCTCTATTTCTGATACATTTTAAAACAATATTTGTGGCGGGGTGTGGCTGGGATTACTCATGCCTGTAATCCCAGCACTTTGGGAGGCCGAGGTGGGTGGATCACGAGGTCAAGAGGTCCAGGCCATCCTGGCTAACATGGCAAAACCCTGTCTCTACTAAATATAAAAAAATTAGCCAGGCTTGGTGGCGTGCGCCTATAGTCCTAGCTAGTCAGGAAGCTGAGGCAGGAGAATCACTTGAACCCAGGCAGCAGAGGTTGCAGTGAACCTAGATTACAACACTGTATTCCAGCCTAGGTGACAGAGTGAGACTCCCTCTCAGAAAAAAAAAAAATATATATATATATGTTTATACACGTCAGGCCGGGCACAGTGACTCACTCCTGTAATCCCAGCTCTTAGGGAAGCAAAGGCAGGAGGCCAGCTTAAGCCCTGGAATTGAAGACATGCCTGGGCAATATAGTGAGACCCTGTCCTCCACAAAAAAGAGGAAAGAAAAAAAGTATTATAGGCTGGGTGTGGTGGTTCATGCCTGTAATCCCAGCACTTTGGGAGGCTGAGACAGGCAGATCACCAGAGATCAGGAGTTCAAGACCAGCCTGGCCAACATGGCGAAACCGTGTCTCTACTAAAAATACAAAATGTTAGCCAAGCGTGGTGGCTCGTGCCTGTGTATATACACGAATATAAAGACGGCACACGTGTTATGCCCTGCACAGCCCAGTAACAACGTTGGCCCTGCCCTCATCCCTTTGATCCCATTCGAGTCAGGAATCTCAGTTGGGTTTTGGAGGCTACGGGGTCCCAGGTTCAAGTCCTAGGACCAGGTGAGCTCATCCACGACGCAACTTGGATTGGTCGACAACTGGTAGTGACATGAATGGAGAACTAGCCATCCTTTAGGGACCATCCCAAATGCTCTCACCTCCCAGAAACCTTCCCTACTTCATCCCGGCCTCCTCTGTCTCAACAGCCCTGCCCTGCCCATTGTTCTCCTTGACGTGGTCCCAGGGGGGTCTTTTTGCCATCCAGAGCTGATCCTGTCTCCTCTGCACACAACCTCCCATGGGTCCCTAGCATGTTAGGACAGGTCCAGGTGCAACTGCCTGGCCTTCCAGGGCCCTTCCTCAAGCTATGTGGCCTCGTGGACCTCCATCTCACGTCTCCCCTTTCCTCCCTTGCTGCCATCCTCAGATGGGACCCATCCTTAGTGCGCCACATTCTCTCAGGCCTCCCTGGCTGTGCACACGTCCTTTCTTTTTCTCTTAGAACTCCCCTGTCCCTGGCCGGGCGCAGTGGCTCACACCTGTAATCCCAGCACTTTGGGAGGCCGAGGCGGGCAGATCACGAGGTCAGGAGTTTGAGACCAGCTTGGCCAACGTGGTGAAACCTCATCTCTACTAACAATACAAAACATTAGCCAGGTGTGGTGGTGCACGCCTGTAATCCCAGCTACCTGGGAGGCTGAGGCAGACACCTTCATCACTGTCCCTTCATCCCTGTTCGGTCTTTAGGTCTTAGCTTACATGTCATTTTCTCCAGGAAGTCACCTCTGTGCCCTCTGCTCCTGCTATTAGATCATAAGTCACTTGGGGCTCTTGAAGGACAGAGAGGGTCTGGCCCCGGGCCTCTCGTGCAGGCTGATGTGGGGTGGGTGGGGCGGAGCTGCCCTGTGTCGGGACTCAGCCCTGTCCCCACGCCTGCAGATCCACATGGTCTACAGTAAGCGGTCGGGAAAGCCCCGCGGCTATGCCTTCATCGAGTATGAACACGAGCGGGACATGCACTGTGAGTACCACCCGCCGCAGCGCTGCCCTCTGACCCTCTCACTTCTCTGCTGCCCCAGCCCTTCCCAGTCTGTCCCCTCCCCACCCTGCCACACCTGACATTAGCGATGTCTCTTCTCCTCCTCCCTCTGTTTCTGATATATCTTTTTTTTTTTTATATACGTGTTTTTTAAAAAACAAAAACCAAATCCCCCACAACGTGTGTGTGTGTGAACCTGGGGAGGTAAGTGTCACACGTTGAACCTCAGGGGCAAAGAGGGAACTGGGTGGGGGGCTGGGGCCAGCCGGAGGTGGGGGGAGGGGTCGGATTTTGGGGGAACCTCTCCCCATTATTCCCCCCACTGGAGTTGGGGGTGGCCAGGTTGCCAGTGACGACTGGCCTTTGAACTTGCCCTCTCTTCCCCCCCAGTACAACTGGGGCTGGGCCACCCAACCCTCCGCCTCCCCAGCTCTGGCCCCCCACCCTGTTCCTCAGCGGGCAGTGGGGTGATAGGCATGTTGAGCGCCCGCCCCTACAGTTCCAAAGCCCCCTTTGAGGCTGCCGCGGCGTCCACATGGGCAGGGATGGGTGGGGGAGGGCGGGCAGGGCTGCGGCGTGTCCAGGGGCCGCCGTATTAATTGACTGTTCTTATTGTCACTGCAGCCACCACGCAGCTGGCTTGCAGCTGATGCTTACGCTCCCCTTACAACACCTCAGTGTATGGTTGGTATAAGGGTTTGTATCATGGGTAAGATCACTCAGCACCGCACACCAGCCCAGCTTAGCCAGGCAGCTCAGGAGCAGCGAGGCACCCCTTCTCCCGCCCCAGTCGCCCCCGCAGCCTCCCCGCACCCACAGCCCTTTCCTTGTTTGGGTGCCCTTTGTCCCTCCTGCCCCGATCCGTATGCTTTCTGAGAATCTTGCTGATCGCAGGAGGGGAAGGATGAACCCGGTGGGAAAGGCAGCAGCCTCTCCGCTTGGGCTCCACCCGGCCTCTAATGACCCGGCTTCGCGATGTCAGCGGTGAGGTGGTGGGAAAACCGAGGGCAGGGCACCAGGCCAGGGCTCCACTGGAACCCTTCCGCCTTCCCTCCCTGCCCCCGTGCTTTCTGTGGGGCTGCCACTGTGCTGGCCCTGGAGAATCTTTTTGGCTGCTAGTTTTGGGGCACTCTGCCCCCTTCCTGTCTTCCTTACTGTGGTCGAAGCCTCCCGAGGGGCTGGCTGTGGTGTCCAGCCACTCCAGAGGTGGTCACGAGCTCCCCAAAGTGCATGGAATTGGGGCTTGGGGTGTGGGAGGGACCAAGGGGTAAGTTGCCAGCAGCTGAAGGTGTCGTAGGTTTTAACTAAAGAACCGTCCACTGTCTAGAGACTTCAGAGAGAGGGAAAGAGAGAGAGAGGCCTAGATGAACACAATCACATGTTTTCTTTGCTGTTCTTCCCGGGTTGGGCCTCTTGGGGTTTGGGACTCTGAACCCAAGCGGGGTTTCTTCGCTTGACTTTGATCCTGGTCCTTAAATGCCTTTCCCCACTCCCCTCCTGTGGGTTCAGGGGCCAAGCGGCCCCTCCTCAGAGCACTGGCAACACCATCTCCTGGACCCCTGCGTGCCAGCCTCTGCAGAGGCAGCTGGTGGGAGGGAGCATGGAGTTGAAGGTGGAGAAGCCACTCCTGGTCCTCTGGGTGGCGGGCTGTGTGCCTAGTTCAATGTGACTTGGGAATTGGTAAGGGCAGACAGGTGTTTGAGGCCTCCCTGCCTTCTTTGGAAATTGACATGCTGTAGTCTAGGGCTTTCCAGCTCCCAGCCTGGGTGATAATCCTCATCTCCCCACTGTAAGGCCTCCTTGAGATTTTTTTTGGGGTCCACCACTTCCTCTGCCTGTCTCCAGGTGGTACAGGAGATGTGGTTCCTCTTCCTCTCCTGGCTCCCTAGAATCCCCACTTCCCTTCCCTGTAGCTTTAGCTGACCCCATGGTGGTGGGTGTGGGGTCTGTGCGCGTGCTCAGGTAAGCTTGGGGGCTCCAGGTAAGCGGTCCCGTGTCCCCCCCCCGGGAAGCCCGCCTCCTCGCCAGGCCCCCAGGAGTTGCCGAGCCCCCCCCATCCCGCTCGGTTTGGACACCCGCAAGGCCGGCATCGGTAAATGGCACCTTTTTCTCTTCCTCTGGTTGTTATTTGGGGGGGAGCGGGCTGGGGTGGGGCAGGGTATTATGGTTGGTTGAGGACAACCCCCCTAGGCCAGGGCTGGGTGGGGGAACAGGGACTTTTTGGCCTTCCCGACATCCCCGTGTGATCACAGGCCAGTGCCTCAGATTTGCCCTCTGCTGAGCCCTGCCCGAGAACAACAGCGAGCCCCTCCCCCATCTCCCCTCTATGACTCCCGACTCCCCTTTCGTGGCAGGCTCAGGCTGGGGTTTGCTCCCAGCACATGTTGAGCCAGGGGTGTGGAGGGCGAGATGGGGCAGGGCTGGGGGGAGGCAGGGTCAGTCGTCTCAGGTAAGGCAGGGATTTTCGGTAGCACCGCACGGCTCCCCATGCTTCCTCCACTGCCCCTCCCCTGCTGCAGGGGCCCCTCCAGGCCCCCTGAGAGTGTATAACCCACCTCTCTGCTCCCTGCCATTTCCTGAAGATTTCTCCCACCCCCTTCTGGTTCATTTTCTGTTCTGATGTCTGTTCCCCCCACACTCACCCCCCTCCAAAAAAAAAAAAAAACCGGTGTGGTCTGGGGTGCGGAGCGTCCCAGCTGGGCCTCCTGCCCTGGCATGGTTGGTGTCTCAGGGTGCATGCTTGGGGTTGTGGAGGAGCCCCCTCCCCCACAGCAGAGTCCAGCGTGGAGTTAACCTTGTTTCTTTGCAGCAATTTTGGCCGCCCTGGCGGGAGGGGGCTGCTCCATCGTGTGGGAGAGGAAGGACCTGGGAGCCCAGAGGGTGGCGGGTGAGGGTGGACGTCTTCCCCGGCCAGGAGTGGTTGGGGTGCTGAGAGGAAGCAGACACTGAGATGGAGCAGGCCCCTCGCCGGTTTGGGAGAGGGTTGGTCTGGCTGTCAGTTGCCTGGCTGTGTGGTGGGCGTGTGCGAGTGCGTGATGATGGGGACACGGGGTGAGGATGCTGTAGAGCTGGGCCTGTCCTGACTAGAGGACCCTCTGGGGACTCCTCTCCCCTCCCCCTCCCCAATCTGTTACAGCCGCTTACAAACACGCAGACGGCAAGAAGATTGATGGCAGGAGGGTCCTTGTGGATGTGGAGAGGGGCCGAACCGTGAAGGGCTGGAGGCCCCGGCGGCTAGGTGAGCACAGTGCCCACGCCGGGCTCTTTGGGGCCCTAGGCCTGGTGGCCTTGTTTTCCTCTGCTGCATCCTGTTTCTCTGTCTCCTGCCGGCTCATCACTCCTGTCTCCTCCTCATCTCCGGCTTTCATGGCCATCACATTTCCTACAGCCAACCGCCTCCTCCTTGCCTAGTTATTGTGAGCAGGGGCACCAGCCTGGAGAGGCCTGAGCCCACATGCTGGTGTTCGCACTTGCTAGTTGGCGGGGTCGGGGGGTCCCTCTTCCTGCCTCATTGTTCTCCTCCTAGTGGAAGTAACCCTGAGTTCACTGAGTTCAGTGTACTGGGTGCCCAGCCCGGCAGTGACACATGCTGGGGTTGTACATGTCTCCTGCTCATCTGCTTCTGCTGCTTGCCCTTGCTCTTGTTCGCTCATTGACTAATTCAGCAAGTACGTATTTGATCAGCAGCCATGTGCCAGGCTTCTAGTCAAGAGCAACACAGAGGCAGCCTCTGCCCTCTGAGCCTTCTGCATTTGGCTCCTTCACTGTCATTCGCTGTCTCAGGCAAGGTCAGTTTGGCTGCAAGTATCAGAAATACGCTTGAGCTTCCTGAAACGTAAAGGGCCCTGTTGATACAGAATCATGGGCATCCTTTGGAGTTGAGAGGTATGTGATGGCTGTGGACCCAGGAGGACCCGGTAGCTGAAGCTGTTAAGAGCTGGGGTGGCCAGGCTGGGTGCAGTGGCTCACGCCTGTAATCCCAGCACTCTAGGAGGCTGAGATGGGTGGATCTTGATATCAGGAGTTCAAGACCAGCCTGGCCAAGATGGTGAAACCCCTTTACTAAAAATACAACAACTAGCCAGGCATGGTGGTAGGTGCCTGTAATCCCAGCTACTTGGGAGACAGAGGCAGAAAATTGCTTGAACTCAGGAGGCAGAGGTTGCAGGGACCCAAGATCGTGCCACTGCATTCCAGCTGGGGCGACAGAGCAAGACTGTGTCTCAAACAACAACAGAAAGCTGGATGGCCCACAGCTTGCTTCTGCCTCGTTAGCCCCCATGCAGCTGGGTCTGTCCCATGCCTCCTCACGCTGACCCAGCGCAGCACGCCACAGGCCCCAGCTTTACACTCAGTCCTGGATGAGTCTGTTTCGGGGTGGGCACATATGATTGGCTCAGTATTGGGGTCCTGTTACTCAAGCATGCTTATTGAGGATCGAATCCGGCAAAGCTGAGTGACAGTTGTCAGAGAAGAAGAAGATGGTCCCTGGGCAGACAGCCAGGCAGTAGTAGCCACTCGGGGCTCCTGTCCTGCCTCCCAGCCCTGTGTCCTCGCTCTGTATTCGCCTGTGGTAGGGAGACCACACTCAGCTGCTGAGCCTCTGTGCTTAGCAGGCATGTTTTTACCTTACTGTGTCTCTCTGGGGTGGAGTGGGGTCTTACACCTCTGCTGTTTGCTGTCATGGTGGGAGAATTCTGGAATCTCAGATTCTCTCTAGAATCTCAGACTCTTGTAGAGCAGTTGGCATTCACATTTTTTGTTGATGTTCGCCAGTGATACCTTGATTTGGTGCACCTGCAGAAACACTATAACCTAAAGGTTGGGGAAACAGTTTTTTCCGTGGAGTAAGTATATTGTATATTGTGCTGTTTTGTTTCTTAAGATGTTGGATGCAGCCCATCAGATTGATTATGTGACTCACTGCTGGTTCATGACCTGGAAAGAGGAAAGGCTAGTCTAGCTGCCCCGTGCCTGTGACATGGCAGGTACCTGGCCCACTGCCTGCTTCCTATATGATTGTCTCCCTGGCGTCCCCGCAGCCTCTTTGATAGACAAAACTCAGCTCTGCCTCTCGGAAGCTTTTCCAGGCAGTGTGGGATGGAGGAGCGCTTGAGAAGGCAGGTTCTGCAGCAGACGGCAGTGACAGCCCAGTTCTTCACCTTCCTTGCTGAGTCACTGTGGGCCAGTGACTTGATCTGAGATCCTTTCCCCATCAGAACAGTGAGGTTATCATCTGTGCCTTGGGGCTGTTCATTTATTCACTTGACACATAGGCATCCACCTTTCTACACCAGCTGCAGCGCCACCTGCTGGTACCGTGAGCCAGAGCCAAGCGCGTGCGCGGTCCTGTGGCGCCCCGCAGTCTGAGAGGCAGGTAGGGGTGGACTCAGACAGATAGCAAACCTGCAACCCTCAGTGTTTTTCTGCAACTGTGAGTATATAGAATGGTCAGGAAAGGCTTCCCGAGGAAGGGATGCTCGGGTTAGCGTTAAGGGTGAGCGGGAGTTCACCAGAGAAGGAAGGGGCGGCCGGTCCAGGACGAGGAGAATGCGCAGACACTGGTAGGAAGAAGGTGAGCGCGGACTCTGGGAAAGGCCTGGGACATGCAGGGCCTGCTCTTGCTGCCTCTACCACCAGTTGACGGAGTTTGGACCTCAGGCTGGGGGATGCCACCAAAGGCTTCCAATTAGAGCCCCTTTTCTGATGGAGATGATTGGCCTGGGGTTTGTGTGAGGGTGAGGATGATTGGGAGGGTTTTGAGAAGGCTGTGAAGTGCGCTGTGGTTAAGATGATGTGCTTTGGGGTCAGAGGTGGGTTCCAGGAACAGCTGTTTCCCAGGGAACGCTCTGTGTGTTACTCAGTGCTCTGTGTGGGTTACTCACTGTTGGCAAAGGTGGCTGTCTTGTGATGGGAGTGTCTGCACGGGAGGGACCCGGCCCTGGGAACACTAAGCCAGGCTGCCTTTCTGCCCTTCGCTCTCGGAGCTGCCTATTTCCGCTCCTCTGGGCCCTGCCCCTGCCCAGACTGACCCACTGTTCGTCTGCCCTGCCCCAGGAGGAGGCCTCGGTGGTACCAGAAGAGGAGGGGCTGATGTGAACATCCGGCATTCAGGCCGCGATGACACCTCCCGCTATGATGAGAGGTAAGATTGGGCGACCGGTGTCCTGGGGTGGGGGGGCGGTTACGGGGGAGCCCGGTCACACAGGTCTGCCCACCTCATCCAGGCCCGGCCCCTCCCCGCTTCCGCACAGGGACCGGGACCGGGACCGCGAGCGGGAGCGCAGAGAGCGGAGCCGGGAGCGAGACAAGGAGCGAGAACGGCGACGCTCCCGCTCTCGGGACCGGAGGAGGCGCTCACGGAGTCGAGACAAGGAGGAGCGGAGGCGCTCCAGGGAGCGGAGCAAGGACAAGGACCGGGACCGGAAACGGCGAAGCAGCCGGAGCCGGGAGCGGGCCCGGCGGGAGCGGGAGCGCAAGGAGGAGCTGCGTGGAGGCGGCGGCGACATGGCGGAGCCCTCCGAGGCGGGTGAAGCGCCACCTGATGACGGGCCTCCAGGGGAGCTCGGGCCTGACGGCCCTGATGGTCCAGAGGAAAAGGGCCGGGATCGTGATCGGGAGAGACGGCGGAGCCACCGGAGTGAGCGTGAGCGGCGCCGGGACCGGGATCGCGACCGCGACCGTGACCGCGAGCACAAGCGGGGGGAGCGGGGCAGTGATCGGGGCAGGGATGAGGCCCGAGGTGGGGGTGGCGGTGGCCAGGACAACGGGCTGGAGGGTCTGGGCAACGACAGCCGAGACATGTACATGGAGTCTGAGGGCGGCGACAGCTACCTGGCTCCGGAGAATGGGTATTTGATGGAGGCTGCGCCGGAGTGAAGCGGTCCCTCTCCACCTGCTGAGATTGGACGTGTTCCTGCCCCACCCCCTTGCTGTCATCCCCTCCCCCAACCCTGGCCACCTCAATTTGTCCTCCAAGGGTAGGTGTCTCATTTGTTCTGGCCCCTTGGATTTAAAAATAAAATTAATTTTCTGTTGCTAGTGGGCACCTTGGTTCCTTCACTGCTCTGTCTTCCCCAAGGGTTGTCCCTGACTTGATAGCCCTACTTGGTTTGGTTTCCCAGGTGTAGTTACAGCTTGAAGATTAGGCTGTGAGGCTGGCCGTGCCCGGTAGCCAGAGCTGTTGAAAGTGGGGTGAGGAGGCCTCTCTAGGGCTCCTTGTCACCCTTGTTTTTCACCGTTTTTTTCCCACTTCACACATTCCTCAGAGCTGACCATACCCCTGCCTTGGTGGGGGCTGGGATTTAGGAGGGCACTCCTCAGGGGAAGCAGCAGTTTTGAATGTGAACCCACCTTGTGGGTGAGATGGGGCGGATCAGAAAGGGTAGGCGGGGCCTCCAGTTCCCGCCGGCTACAGGAATAACGAGCAGAAACGACAGAAGAGGTTCCACCAGCAATTGAGATTTCAAGCAGATGCCTAGACAAAAGATGAAAGACACCGGTGGTGAGGACACTTGAGCCTGGTGAGTGCTGAGAAGCCAGTCCGCCCTGCAGAGCTCTAGAGGGTCAACACTGCCGCTGCAGGAGAACGAGGGTGGGAGGCCAGAGGCAGAGCTCTGTACAGCTGGCCTCCCTGTTGGCACTCAGGATGCCTGGGAGCTGGGCCGGGGGTGCCAAGGCAAAGCCAAGTTCAGACCTGTTTGTGTCTTTCAGAAGTGTCTCAGCCTGCTAACTCGAGGGTCTGTGACGCACGCAGAATTCCTGTCTGCTTTTCAATGGCTTCAGTTTAACCAACTAAGGATACTCAGACATTTGAGGAAAAACAGAGACCACAAGATAAAGAGAAAAACTGATCCTGGAAGAAATGATGTAGGAATAAAAGACTTGATACCTCTAATTAGTGTATTTCATGGAGATCCCAGATACAACTACAGGCTTCCAGGACTGGCTACAGAAAGCCCATTTTGGACTAACATGGTGCACACCAGTTATATAAAGGCTGGGCAGTAGACAGAAAGTTAGGAAAGGTGCTGTAGAGCAGTCGCTTTGATGAGGCTGGAGGGTGTGGTCCATAAGCACATAGGTGTGTTTGACGCTTACCCTTGCCTTTTCCTTGAGGATGTTTTGCCATTTAGCATGGGGAAGAGACGACCAGGCAGGACTGACTTCCACTGGGCCAAGTACACAGAGGTTCAGCCGGGCAGCTGGGATTGACAAAATGGGAGAGGAGGAGGGCACTGAGCTCCCAAATCTCCTCACACCTCCCCAGATTCATTCACCAACTCAAGCTGCTGACTGTCATTGCAAGACCCCCAAGAAACTCATCAGAATGCAGTAACTGGGCAAGGAACTGCCTGCCTGGAGATTGCAGCAGTTCTGGGCCCACCATGGTGGAATGGCCTTGCTTGAGATGCCCAGGGTGCCTTGATATCAGAGTAAGGCCACAACGGGGAATCAGGCTAAGAGGCCAGGCACGCTGGCTCACACCTGTCATCCAAGCACTTTGGGAGGCAGAGGCGGGCGGATCACTGAGGCCAGGAGTTAGAGACCAGCCTGGCCAACATGGTGAAACCCCATCTCTACCAAAAATACAAAAATTAGCCAGAGGCTGGGTGTGGCGACACACCCGTAATCCCAGCACTTTGGGAGACTGAGATGGGTGGATCACCTGAGGTTAGGAGTTTGAGACCAGCCTGGCCAACACAGCAAAACCCCATCTCTACTAAAAAATACAAAAATTAGCTAGGCGTGGTGGGGAGCACCAGTAATCCCAGGTACTCGGGAGGCTGAAGCAGGAGAAGCGCTTGAACCCAGGAGGTGCAAGTTGTGGTGAGCCAAGATCGTGCCACTGCACTCCAGCCTGAGTAACAGAACAAAGACTCTGAAGTCCAAAAAAAACCGAACATGGTGGCACAGAGGTGGAGGTTGCAGTGAGCTGAGATTGCGCCACTGCACTCCAGCCTGGGCGTGTCAAAACATACAAATAGGCAGGCTAAGAAAGCCTAAAACCAGACTTTGTCAGGATTTGGGCAGCCTGCCAGCCAGAAGAAAACTGAAAGAAGGTAAGCGTTCTGAGCCTCCACATGTACTATTTTTATTACCCATTACACAGCATCTACTCAAAAGTTACCAGGTTTGTTAGGAATTAATTTGCTGAAAACCAAGAGGGAAGCAAAATAGACAACTAGAAACCCAGGGGTGATTCAGATGTTGGAGTTATCAGAGCTATGACATACTCAGAAAACAAGAACAAGATGTAGAGGATGTTAAGATACCTGGAATCTAGCTACTTGAGAGGCAGAAGTAGGATTCCAGGATTCCTTAAGCCAAGGACTTCGAGATTGCAGCGAGCTATGATCACACCACTGCACTCCTGCCTGGGTGACAGATGAAGACACCGTCTCAAAAACAAACGGGCACAGTGGCTTACCCCTGTAATACCAGCACTTCGGGAGGTTGAGGTGGGTGGATCATGAGTTTAGGAGATCTAGACCAGCCTGGCCAGCATGGCGAAACCCCATCTCTACTAAAAAATACAAAAATACTATCTGGGCATGGTGGTGCGTGCCTGTAGTCCCAGCTACTTGTGAGGCTGAGGCAGGAGAATCACTTGAACTGGGAGGTGGAGACTGCAGTGAGCCGAGATCATGCCACTGCACTCCAGCTTGAGCAACTGAGTGAGACTGTCTCAAAAAAAAAAAAAAAAAATTCCGAAATCTGACACCAAACAGACGGCAATTCTAGAACTGGAAAACACAACTGGAATTAAAAAGTAAGTGGTGGCCAGGCATGGTGGTTCATGCCTGTACACTCAATACTTAGGGAGGCCAAGGTGGGAAGATCACTTGAGCCCAGAGATGGGAGACCAGCCAGGGCAACATGGCAAAAGCCTGGTCTCTACAAATATTAGAAAAACTAGCCAGATGTGGTAGCGTGTGACTATGGTCCCAGCTACTCAGGAGGCTGAGGTGGAAGGATTACCTGACCCCTGGGAGGTCGAGGCTGCAGTGAGCCATGATCAGACGACTATACTTCATCCCAGACAGCAAGATGAGACACTGTAACAACAGCAAAAAAAACACACACACATACACAACAAAAGAATTTAGTAGTTGATGAGACTAGGTAACCTGGAGTCTTCCTTAGAAATAGTAGGAAAAGGCCCGGCGCGGTGGCTCAGGCGTGTAATCCCAGCACTTAGGGAGGCCGAGGCAGGTGGATCACAAGGTCAAGAGATCCAGACCATCCTGGTCAACAAGGTGAAACCCCGACTCTACTAAATATACAAAAATTAGCTGGGCATGGTGGTGCATGCCTGTAGTCCCAGCTACTCAGGAGGCTGAGGCAGGAGAATTGCCTGAACCCAGGAGGCGGAGGTTGTGGTGAGCCGAGATCGTGCCATTGCACTCCAGCCTGGGTAACAAGAGCGAAACTTCATCTCAAAAAACAAAACAAAAGAAATACTAGGAAAGATTGGCTTGAACAAACTTTCTTGAAAGAGACATCTCACAGCCTCTTTACAAGTAACTGAAGCCCTACTTCACTAAAATGAAGGACTTACAAGAGGAAACTGGATGTAATTCAGGAGACAAGTGGAGGGAAGTCCCAGGATGGCAGTTTCTAGAGAGCAATGGGCTTAGCGTGGGGTAAGAGGACTAAAGTTTCCCGGAAGTTTAGGGGAAAGATGGGAAGAGCAGAAAATCTGTAATCTAGTACATCTAAGTCGATCAATCAAGGGCCAAGCGAAGTGGCTCACGCTTGTAATTCCAGCACTTTGGGAGGCTGAAGTGGGCGGATCACTTGAGGTCAGGAGTTCAAGACCAGCCTGGCCAACATGGAGAAACCCCGTCGCTACTAAAAATATAAAAATTAGCTGGGCGTGGTGGTGGGCACCTGTAATTCCAGCTGCTCAGGAGGCAGAGGTAGAAGAATCACTTGAATGCAGGAGGTGGAGGTTGCAGTGAGCTGAGATTGTGCCACTGCACTCCAGCCTGGGCAACAGCGTGAGACTCCATCTCAAAAAATAAAATAATACCAGGTGCGGTGGCTCACGCCTGTAATCCCAGCACTTTTGGAGGCCAAGGCGGGTGGATCACGAGGTCAGGAGTTCGAGACCAGCCTGGCCAATATGGTGAAACCCCATCTCTACTAAAAATACAAAAAATTAGCTGGGCGCCTATTGTCCCAGCTGTTTGGGAGGCTGAGGCAGGGGAATAGCTTGAACCCAGGAGGCGGAGGTTGCAGTGAGCTGAGATTGCCCCACTGTACTCCAGCCTGGGCGAAAAGCAAGACTCTGTCTCAAATAAAAAAATAGATAAGAAATAGCATGTTACTTAGAGAAGCAGCTCTCAGACAAAATATCTGTAAGTTCCCTCTCGCACTGAGTAGAGTTAGAGGTACAGAAGCTACTGCTTCTCCCTATTGGCCCGTCTGTGTTATTTGATTTTGTTTTCAATCCCATGAAGACATTACTTTTTGCTGAAGAGAAATAGCGGGAATAGAGCCAGACAAACCTGCTCTAGTCCTCCCACTTGCAACAAGCCCTTTTCTGGACTCCATATCGCCACCCAGTGGAACCAAAAGAGCAGCAGCCAGACTTCTCCAAAGCCTTGTCCCACATCTGGGCCTCTACAGCTTGATACCACTGACCACTTCCTCTTTATTAAAACACTCTCAGCCGTGCAAAGCGGCTCATGCCTGTAAACCCAACCCTTTGGGAGGCCGAGGCAGGAAGATCGTTTGAGCCTAGGGGTTCAAGACGAACCTAAGCAATGAAGACCCTTCTAAAAAAAAATTTTTTTTTTTTTGAGATGAAGTTTTGCTCTTGCTACCCAGACGGGAGTGCAATGGCGCGATCTCGGCTCACCGCAACCTCCGCCTCCTGGGTTCAGGCAATTCTCCTGCCTCAGCCTCCTGAGTAGCTGGGATTACAGGCACACACCACCATGCCCAGCTAATTTTTTGTATTTTTAGTAGAGACGGGGTTTCACCATGTTGACCAGGATGGTCTCAATCTTTTGACCTTGTGATCCACTCGCCTTGGCCTCCCAAAGTGCTGGGATTACAGGTTTGAGCCACCGCGCCCGGCAAATTTTTTTTTTTTTTTTTTAACTCTCTTTTCATAGTTTCTCCCACCTGGGTTTCCTCCTACATTTCAGGTCATTCTCTGCTGTCCCCCGCTTTTAAGTGTTAGAGAGATTTGGGGACCAGTCCTAGGCCCTCTTTATATTCTCTTGCCCCTGACATTCTTATCCACTCCTGTGGTTTCATTTACCACCTCTGCCCCAATACTCAAGGATGCCTGCAGACCAGGTTGCTCTTTTGAGCCCTAGACGTAGATCGACTGCTTCTCCCCATGGATTCTGCACAGGCTCCTCAAATTCAAAATACCCAGTATCCACCGGGCAAGGCGGCTCATGCTTGTACTACAACACTTTGGGAGGCCGAGGCGGGTAGAGTTTGAGACCAGCCTGACCAATATGGAGAAACCCCGTCTCTACTAAAAATACAAAATTAGCCAGGCCTGGTGGCGCATGCCTGTGATCCCAGCTACTCCGAAGGCTGAGGCAGGAGAATCGCCTGAACCCGGAAGACGGAGTGGTGCCATTGCACTCCAGCCTGGGCAACAAGAGTGAAACTCCGTCTCAAAAATATATAAATACAAATTTGAGTGCCATATTTTACCCTTAGGAGTTTGCATGAAGCCCCAAATCCCCAATACACATGCCAACGCAGGAGCCCAGGCATAAACTATCCTGCCGGCCTTTTCACCTCATCAAGGAATCCCAACTCTGCTTCCAGCCACGTGGGCTCCTTCTGCGTGGTGGGGGTGTTCATCTTACCTCCCGGGACTCTGTCAAGTCCCTCCTCTAGGATTTCCTTCGTCTTCTGGATCATCGCCTCCCCACTCAGCTCTCATCACAGTCGTGGTTGGCTGTCTACCTCCCCCATAGACTGGAAGCTCCGTTCGGGTTGTGGGCTTGGCTGTCCTGCTCACCACGGTGTCCATGCCTCGGGCCCAGAAGATGTTTCACAAGAGTTTGTTGAATGAATGTGGGAAAAGGATGGACAGGGGGTAGACAGGTGTGGAGGACAGGCAGACAGGGATCGTGAAAGGGACACACAGACCGAACCTGCAATGGGAGGGCCCGCCAACAGGACCGACCGGCCGGGGCGGAGGGCAGGGCTGCGGGTGGCGCGCGGCAGCGGGTCGGGGCTGTCCGGCGTGGGGGAGCGGGGCGCTCTCCCGGCTGCGCCTCCGCAGGGGGCGCCCGTGGCCCGGGGCGTGGCCTCGCGCAGCCCCGCCCCCCTCGCCGGCGCCGGGGCAGGCTGGCGGCTGGCAGCGGTGGCGCCGACATGGCTGCGCTGGTGGAGCCGCTGGGGCTGGAGCGGGGTAAGCGCGCGCCAGGGGGCCCTGCCCACCGCGGCCTGCGTCCCCAGTCCCCGGTCCCCTCCCTTCCCGGGCCTGGCCGGCGCGGGTGGGCGGGGCGGGCGCCGGGGCCGGGCGGTCGGGGGGTGTGGGAGGCTCCGTGGGCGCGGGCCGGGGCGGGGGGCGCCCGCTTTACACCCCGGCCTGTGGAGCGGTCCCGGGGCCGCAAGGCGCCCGGCTGGTGGCGGTTTCTCCTGCGTCACCCTGGACTCTGCAGGGCGTCCGACTGGGCTTCGGCCGTCCTCCCGGGGCTGTGCGCTCGCCCTCACTCCGCCGCTCTCCTCGCTCCTCTGCGTCTCGGGGTCTCTGACACTCGCGGTCTCTGCGCCCCGCCCCCGCCCCCGCCCCGCAGACGTGTCCCGGGCAGTGGAGCTCCTCGAGCGGCTCCAGCGTAGCGGAGAGCTGCCCCCGCAGAAGCTGCAGGCCCTCCAGAGAGTCCTGCAGAGCCGCTTCTGCTCCGCTATCCGAGAGGTGAGGGGCGCGCGGCGCAGGGGCGCGAGCTGGCGACCGCCGTCCTCCTCCTCCTCCTTCTCCTGCTCGCCTCGAGCTCGGGGACTACGCCTCCCGGCAGCTCCCGAGGCGGCCCGCCTTGGGTGCCCACTCTTCAGCTCAGGGGTTCTTCGGGAGTTGTAGTTTCCTCGGGTTCTGATTGCGGGGGGCGGGGCGGATCCTGGCGTGGGATCGGGAGAGGGTCTGGGGCCCGGACTTCTGTGTCTAGGGCCGGAGGGGCTGGCGGCTCCCTGATGCGGCTGCCTCTTCACCCAGGTATATGAGCAGCTCTATGACACGCTGGACCTCACCGGCAGCGCCGAGATCAGGGCCCATGCCACAGCCAAGGTGGGCCCCTCACCCCATTCCATTGCTCCTGGTATCTGCGTAGCTGCCTGGTGGAGCTCGGTTATCTCCTTCACGCCAGTCATTTCTGTTTCTTCCCTCAAGATTTTTGCCAAATCTATGTGCCACCCTTCCTATTATTAAATAGTTGCACATTTTTACTTAAAACAAATGTCATACGAAGGTATCTTTTTAGCAACTGCAAATGGAAACCAGTGTGGCATGGCGGGCTAGAAGATAACCTTCAACATCTGTACAGTGCAAACCAGGAAAGTCACGGCGAGCTGACATCCCACTGCACCACAGTGAGATGCTGCCGCCTGCTTCTGCCCGGAGGCTCTGAGCTCCCTCCAGGCCTGGCTTTTCTCAGTGTAAAAGTAAGATCGAAGAGCTGGGTGCGGCGGCTCAGGCCTGTAATCCCAGCACTTTGGGAGCCTGAGGTGGGCGGATCACCTGAGGTCAGGAGTTTGAGACCAGCCTGGCCAACATGGTGAAACCCTGCCTCTAAAAAAAAAAAAGTAAGATTGAGGCCAGGCATGGTAACTTATGCCTGTAATCCTAGCACTTTGGGAGGCTGAGGTGGGTCCTGACTTGAGGTCAGGGGTTCAAGACCAGCCTGGCCAACATGGTGAAACTCCATCTCTACAAAAATACAAAAAAATTAGCTGGGCGTGGTGGTACATGCCTGTAATCCCAGCTACTCGGGAGGCTGAGACAGAAGAATCGCTTGAACCCAGGAGGCAGAGGTTGCCGTGAGCCGAAATTGTGGCACTGCACTCCAGCCTGGGAAAGAGCGAGACTTCATCTCAAAAAAAAAAAAAAGGTAAGATTGGCAAGCGTGGGGTATTCAAGACACACTCACACCAAATGGACACATTCTCTTGAAAAGTGAAGGGAAAGGGGCGCACAGACATTTCAGGGGGATTTTGCATTGTGTCATGGCAATTGTCCCAGGCTTGGGGATAGAACCCAGGCTAAATCGCTGTCCTCGGTCCATATTCTCCTCCCCAGCCTTCATGCCCACTTTGGAGGGGTCTCACCTCCAGCTGCTTTCTCTCTCCCAGGCCACAGTGGCTGCCTTCACAGCCAGCGAGGGCCACGCACATCCCCGGGTAGTGGAGCTGCCCAAGACGGATGAGGGCCTGGGCTTCAACATCATGGGTGGCAAAGAGCAGAACTCGCCCATCTACATCTCCCGGGTCATCCCGGGGGGCGTGGCTGACCGCCATGGAGGCCTCAAGCGTGGGGACCAACTGTTGTCCGTCAATGGTGTGGTGAGTGGGGGGCTGAGGCAGAGCTGGGGGACACAGTCTGTCCAAGGTAGCATAGCCCCTGCTTTTGACATTGATTTAACACACACTGACTGAGCGATACCTCTATGGCTAGCCTTGTGCTGGGCAATGTTACAGACCCTGAGAGATGTTGGCCTCAGCTCCTACACTCAACGTTCCCTCTGTGGGAAGGGCAGTAGTCCCTGGCTGAAAAAGTCCTAATCTAGAGACCTAACAATGAGGAAGTGCAAAGTATTGTGACAGCCCAGATGAGACACCCGGCCAGTGTAGCTGCAGGAAGGTTTTGCAGAGTAAGGAACATTTGGGTTGGGTGTTGAAGGATGAGTAGGAGTTCTCCAGGCAAACAAGGTAGAGGGTGTTCCTGCTGAAGGTGCTGTGGAGAAGGATACTGACTTGGCATACCTCTGAGCTGAAACGAAAGGGCTTGGTTCTCATGGAGGTCTGGGCATACAGGTAATTAAAATCACTGTGGTTAGGTAGGGTGCAGTGGCCCACACCTGTAATCTCAGCACTTTGAGAGGCCGAAGCGGGTGGATCACCTGAAGTCAGGAGTTTGAGACCATCCTGGGCAACATGGTGAAAACCCGTCTCTACTAAAAACACAAAAATTAGCTGGGTGTGGTGGCAGACACCTGTAATCCCAGCTACTTGGGAGGCTGAGGCAGCGGAATCACTTGAACCTGGGAGGTGGAGGTTGCAGTGAGCTGAGAGATCTCACCATTGTACTCCAGCCTGGGTGACAGAGCGAGACTCCGTCTCAAAAAAAAAAAAAAAATCACTGTGGTTAGAGTTGAGGGAAGCATAACTGGGAGGTGGCTGCGGTCAGCCATACAGGGCCTGAGTGTCAGCCTGAGAAGCTGGGACTTTGTCCCATGGGTGCTGGGGAGCCATGAGAGGCAAGGAGTGAGCCAGTGATAAGCTCAGCTTGCAGGTACAGAAAGACCCCTCTGGGAGCCTATGGGAGATGGACTTCAGGGAGAGACTGGAGGCCAGAAGGCCAGGGAGGAGGCTGGGGTAAGACTCCAGAGGAAAGAGGACAAGGCCTGAGCTGGGGCCAGGGCTGTGGGGACAAAGAAGAGGGAGTCAAGGCAGGCGGGCATGAGTGGGCTGTTGGCAGGGAGGCCATAAAGATGGGCCTGGGCGTTTGGCCAGGGACTGAGGGAACATGGGGCTTCCCCTGACATGGGGGAGGACACTGAACCAGGAGTTAATGACTCTTCCACAAGGAAGACATGAGGCGTTGGCATCTCAGGGCTGGCACCGGGCTCACCAGCAGTGGGTCCCCTCTCCCTGGGGGGAGGGGGCTGGGCAAGGGCAGCGGGCCCCAGGCCCAGCATCTGTGTTGGGCACCACAGAGTGTTGAGGGTGAGCAGCACGAGAAGGCAGTGGAGCTGCTGAAGGCGGCCCAGGGCTCGGTGAAGCTGGTGGTGCGTTACACACCTCGAGTGCTGGAAGAAATGGAGGCCCGGTTTGAGAAGATGCGCTCTGCCCGCCGGCGCCAGCAGCATCAGAGCTACTCGTGAGTCCCTGGATCACTACACCCCTGGGGCCTCTATGGCACCCTTTAACCCCAGGCTCCCAAACCAGGCCAGTGATTCCTGGACATTCCAGCCCTGACCCCTTCTCTGGGATCCTGACCCTTGACCCCTGGCCCAGGCCCTCACCCCAGGCTCTTCTGGCCGAATCCCCTGGGGACCCCTTAGCTTCCTTCCATCCCAAGATGTGGAACCTACTGGGGCTGGGATCCCTCAGCCCACCCACCTTGCCTCTGCATCCCCAATCCTGCCTCTCATCTACCTGGAGCCCCGGTTGAACCCAGGTCCCTTCTCCACCCCCCTTGCAGGTCCTTGGAATCTCGAGGCTGAAACCACAGATCTGGACGCTCACGAGCACCCTGTCCCTGTACAGTATTTATTGTCCCTGGCACCTTATTTAAAGATCTTTGACCCTCATTGAGTGTCTGTGTGTCTGTCCTGCACCCCTGTGTTGGTGTGCTGAGATGTGGGGTAACATGAGGAGCTGAGGTCAGGCCAAGTCTTTGAGAAGCCCTTTTCGGAGTCTGAGAGCAGAGGTTGAGACCTCTCCCTAGGTCTAAAGGCGGAGACAGGCCGGCTTCCAAGGGGCTAGTCCGAGGGCGGAGGCCGGGACCCCGTCTGGGTCTGAGTGCAGGGGAAGAACTGAGGACAACGCCGCCTACCCTTAAGAGCGTCTGAGGGCGAAGGCCAAGTCCCATCCTCCGGAGTCCAGAAACGCAGCCGGAGCTAGTGGGCGGCCTCTGTGTGGGCGGGGCGGAGCGAACCATTAGCCTCTTCCGCCGGGGGAACCCTGCAGGCCGCACTACCGTCTGCGTGGGAGTCGCGGGTGGGGGTGCCGCGTGCAGTTCCCGAGGCGGGCTCAGGGGTGCAGAATGAGGTGCCCTAGTCCACCAGGCGCTCACTCCACCTTCCAACCGGAGCGCGTCCTTCCGGAAGCTGCCTCCGCCTTGAAATCCAACCTTTAGCCTCAACTCGCTGCCCGCCCAGTCCTCGTGTCCCGTGCGGCGCGAGAGCCGGCGCGCGCCACTGCCGGGAGCCGGGGTCGCGACACGCGTTCCACGCCGCGCGCTACTCGCTCCGGGTGACATCATCCCCCTGCCGGGCTCCGCCCCCCGCCCCAGCCGCCCCACGCCGCGCGCCTATTGGTAGACGCGCGTTATGCCCCGCCTCTCGCCCTCCGCCCGCGCGACCCCTCCCTGCAGGTGTGGAGGCGGGGTCTAGTCGCCGGCCGGCACCGACGCTTCCTCCCATTGGCCGCTCGTCGCCGTCTGTCAGTCTCCTGTTAAAGGGGCCACGACCGCCCGGGAGCCGTGGGGGGGAGGGGGAGGGAGGAGGAATTTTTTGGGGGGGAAGGTGGGATTTGGGGGGCGCTGGTGGGCACCCCTGGATCTGGCGGCTGCGGCCTCGCGGGGGGGAGGCTGAACGGTGACAGGGGCAAGGGGCTATTTTGGGGGTAGAAGGCAGTGAGAACGTGAGGGGGAGGGGGGTCCCCAGCGCCGGAGCCGGAGCCAGAGACGCGGAGCCCGCGCGAGCGGCGGAGACAGGGCTCCAGGGCTCCCGAGCGACAGAGCCGGGCCCCGGCCGCTGCCAGGGGCCCCGCCCGGCCCCCCCACTCCACCCCAGGTCCCTCCTGCAGCCCAGCTCCACCCGCAGCCGCCGCGGACCAGGCAGGTAAGAGCCCGGCCCGGCCCTCCTGGCAGCGCCCACCCCGGGGACCCCTTGGTGAGCCTCCCCCGCCTCCCCGAGATCCCGGATTCCCTTTCTCATACCCGGGGACCCCCGAGCCCCGATTTCACAGCCCAACCCCGGGGACCCAGGCGTGCCCCTCCCGGCGCCCAGAGTCCCCGACCGAACCCTAGAATCCCGGGCGCACCGCCGCCTCGCGCCTCCTCCAGGGCCCAGGAGCCTGGTCCGACCCCGGGACCCCCTTGAGCCTAGATGCCCCTTCCCGGCCCTGTTCAGGGAGCTCCAGACACCCGCCGCGGCGGTGCCAGACTCCCCCGGCGCGTCCGCATCGTCCCCGCTTCGCGCACCACGTCTCCGGTCGTCAGCCTCGGGCTTGCACGGCCGGCCGCGTCCCTCGGTCCAGGCAGGCTCGGCGGCCGCCCTGGACACAGGCCCGCTCTGGAGCTGTCCATGGTCAGCGCGCTCGGCAGCCTTGCCTCCCCCACCGCCCGCCGCCGCCGCCAGGGAGGGGGCGCAGGCGGCGCGGGGATCCCCCCCGCCGCGCCTTTGACCCGGGGATACCCCGGCCCTCCCGACCCTGGCGGCCCGGCCTCGGGGCTCCTCCGGCCAAGCTCGTGGCCCGGTCCTCGGCAGCCCAGGCTCCTGGGACTCCAGCTGTTCCCTGAGGAGCCAGGGCTTCTGAATTTTCCTGTTCTGGTCGCCGTGGGGACCATGGCACCCGGGCGTGCAGCTCCCACCCTGTTCGGGAAGCCTGTCCGTGCCTACACCTCTGCTGGCCCCAGGTGGTAGCCCTCACCCCGTCAGAACCTAGGAATCCGGTTCCCCAGCATTGCTCTGCTTAGAACCTGGTTCAACAGCCCTTGTGTCCCGCAGACCCACAGACTCAGGCTCCTGGCACCCAGCGTCTGCTCCCTGAGGGACTCAGGCGCCATGACTGGCTTCCTTTGGGGGATCTGGAATGTGATTATTAATGCAGTTCTCTGATTTCTGTTCACACTCCCCCTTGGGGACCTAAATGTCCTGGACCCAGTCTTGTATCCCCTCAGGGACCCAGGAGTTCAGACCCCAGCTTCTGTACTGCCCACCAGCTTTTACCGAGGCTGTCTGCCCCAAACCCTCTCTCCAAACAAGACCTCAGGCTGTCAGCTTCCAATCCCTCATCATTTACCTCCACAACGATTCAGGAGTCCAGGCTCCTAGCTCTGGCCACTGCCTTCTCCAGCAGGTATCGAGTTTCTCAGCTTTCAGTTTTAGGGATCAGGTCTTCACACCCTCATCATTCTGCCCCATCAACTTCACATCTCCTGTGGCCTTAACAAACCCCTGTCTCATCCTCATGTCACCCCAGGTGGTAGCTTTGGAAATCTCTACTCTCTCTCCCAAGACCGAGCTTCTTGAGATGTTTCCAGCACTCCATTGCCCCCTGAGGCCCATATGAGTTCCCATTCTCCAAGTACACTCTCCCAGGCCAGTGAGCCGAACACACATCACTTCCTCCACATGTATTCGGTGGCATGGGCTCATAAGGAAATCTGGAAGCTACCTACTGTCATCCAAATTTCTTTCTTGTTTCCTTCCTTCTTTCTTTTCTTCCTTTTCTTTTCTTTCTTTCTCTTTCCCTCCCTCCCTCCCTTCTTTTTCTTCTCTCTCTCTCTTTCTCTTTTTTCTTTGTTTCTTTCTTTTCTCTTTCTTCCTTGACAAGTTATCTCTCTATTGCCCAGTCTGGAGTGCAGTGGCATAATCACAGCTGACTGCAGCCTCCACCTCACCGGGCTCAGAAGATCCTCTCACCCTAGCCTCCTGAGTAGCTGGTACCACAGGCACACATCACCAGGCCTGGCTAATTAAAAAAAAATTTTTTTTTTGGCCAGGTACGTGGCTCACACCTGTAATCCCAGCACTTTGGGAGGCATAGTCAGGCAGATCACCTGAGGTCGGGAATTCAAGACCAGCCTGACCAACATGGGGAAACCCTGTCTCTACTAAAAGTACAAAATTAGCTGGGCGTGGTGGCACATGCCTGTAATCCCAGCTACTTGGGAGGCTGAGGCAGGAGAATCGCTTGAACCCAGGAGGCAGAGGTTGCAGTGAGCCGAGATCACACCATTGCACTCCAGCCTGGGCAACAAGAGTGAAACTCCGTTTAAAAAAAAAAAAAAATTTTTTTTTTTTGTAGAGATGGGGGTTTCACAATGTTGCCCAGACTGGTCTCAAACCCCTAGGCTCAAGTGATCCTTCTCCCTTTACTCCCCAGAGTGCTGGGATTACAGGCGTGGCCCCTCATGTCCAGTCCGGACACATTTCTTGTTGCACATGTGCTCTTGCGCTGCTCCACGTTCTAGACTCCTAAACACAGGAACACTCCCAGCTGATGTCTGTTCCATGTTCCACTCTCGCTCAAGACATGGTCTGAGTTCTAGGCCAGATGCCAAATTCTAGGCATGTCTTTTCTCATTTGCTGTTTTCAAATATTTACATAAGACCCCTGATCCAGATTCTGATCCCACTGTCTCCTCAGACATGCTCCAGAGTTCTAGCAACCAGTCCTTCCTTCTTTGCTAACTGTTCATTTTAAGTGCATTCTGGGTTCCAGCCACATTTTTCTAGATTCCATTCTCTTCTGAGAGGCGATCTAACTTCTAAAATGTGTGTGCTCTAAGTATGTGCCCTAGGCTTCCTAGTTCGTGCGATTGATTTGAGAACGCCCTTCCCTATTTCCCTGTTTTACGTTCTAAGTCCCATTGAATTGCACATTATTTTTTTTGTTGTTTAGTTTTTATTTTATTTTATTTTGAGATGGAGTCTTGCTCGGTCACCCAGGTTTAAGTGCAGTGGTGCTATCTCGGCTCACTGCAACTTCCGGCTGCTAGGTTCAAGCAGTTCTCCTGCCTCAGCCTCCTAAGTAGCTGGGACTACAGGCACATGCCACCACACCTGGCCGATATTTGTGTATTTTTAGTAAAGATGGGGTTTCACCATGTTGGCCAAGCTGGTCTCGAACTCCTGACCTAAAGTGATCCTCCTGCCTCCCAAAATAGTGCGATTACAGTCACGAGTCACTGTGCCTGGCCTGTTGTTGTTTATACATTGGGTCTCGCTATGTTACTGAGGCTTGTCCTGGGCTCAAGCGATCCTCCCACACTGGCCTTCCACAGTGCTGTAATTACAGGCATGAGCCACTGTGCCTGGCCCTAATTTCACATTCTGAAATGTAAAAGATTTCCAGTGAAGTGTTCTACATTATGTTTTCCTTCCCCAGTTTCCAGGTTCTAGGCCCATTCATTTTCTGTCAGTTTTTCCCCCAGTGCAGCCTTAGTTTAGAACTTGTCCCCTGGTAGATCGTGGGTTTTCTCCTCCATCTGCCACTCTGGCATTCTAAGCTTGTTCTAGGCTCTCTCCTCTTCTGGAGACTTCAGCCTAGAAATGTTCTTATTTCCGGAACAACCCCCTCCTTTGCCAGCTCAGTCTTTATTCCAGGAAATGCTCAATTCTCAATGTGCATCCTTTTGATCTGTCCCCTGCCCCTCCCCATAGACACTTCTAAGTTCCTAGCAAACTATTAGGCACATGATAAAACCGAGGATGTGACCCTTGCTATATTCTTTTAAAAAATGTAACTAAGGCCAGATATGGTGGCTCACGCCTATAATCGCAGCACTTCGGGAGGCAGAGGTGCGGTGGATCACCTGAGGTCGGGAGTTCGAGACCAGCCTGACCAATATGGAGAAACCCCATGTCTACTAAAAATACAAAATTAGCCAGGCGTGGCAGCACATGCCTGTAATCCCAGCTACTCGGGAGGCTGAGGCAGAAGAATCTCTTGAACCCGGGAGGGAGGAGGTTGTGGTGAGCTGAGATCGTGCCATTGCACTCCAACCTGGGCAACAAGAGGGAAACTCTGTCTCAAAAAAAAAAAAAGTAATTAAATTTAAAAAAATCTATTTATTTATTTATTTTGAGACTGGGTTATGAGACTGGATAAATTTTGTATTTTTTGTGCTTTTTTTTTTTTTGTGCCCTGGCCCCTGCTATATCCTGTTATACCTGCATCCCTAGTAGGTTCGGAGTTCTAGATTGTATCTGCTGACTATGTTTGTTATGTATCGCATTAGGTGTATTTATGGGTATCATGGATGTCGGGTGCTGGGGTGACCTGGACACTAAATTATGGGGTTGCTCTTGGCTGATTCTAGATTACAGGCTTCAGAACTTAGTTCTAGAATACACCCCTCTACTTAGTCCTATGAGCCGTTGTTACCCCAAGTCATCACAAGCGTGGAAGCATTCTGCACCCTGTCCTGTGTCTTCATCAGTAGTTTTTAGGTTGTATGTCCAGCCTTGCTGTGTTTTATTTCTTTCTAGGGGAATTTAAGGCTCTGGGACAGCCTCCCTAAAACATCTGTGTTGCATCGTCTGAGTGAGTTGCTGGTTTTGGATATCATGTTGGTTTTTGGCCGAAGGCTGGCCTGCCCTCTTAGAATCGTTTTCCCGAATCTTTCCTCTGAGTGCTGGGATTCGCCCGTCTAGATTCTCAAACGCACCTCTTCAAACACCCAAGGGGACAGGAACCCAGCTTCCTCTTCTCCCAGGGCCGAAGGCCCTCAGGCCCTCCTCTCCGCACAGGAGTCCGAGGCCCGGGTCCCAGGCTTTGGACACAGTCCGAATATTGGGCGGGGCTGGGAATTATCCAAGCTAAGAACCGGTTATGTGCTGCCCGCAGGGGGAGAAGGAAAGGAAGGAACTGAGTGAAAGTCCCTTCTGCTTTCTGCCGGGCCAGCTGGACCCGTCGGACCTGATGTGTGCGGAGGGAGCGGTTCAGGAGGCCTGGCTTCATCTCCGCCCTGCCCCTGGCTCCAGGGACCTAAGTCCCGCCTTCTCGCCCAAAACCCTGCCCCTTTCTCCTCCCCCGCCTTTGGATATGGCCCCAAGGTGGCTGGGGCTGGGGTTAGGGGGGAGCTCCCAGAACTCCTGGGTCCTGGAGGAGTAGCTGTGCCCCCAGGGGCTGGGGGGAGGAGGAGTCTGAAGGCTGGGATTTCTGGGTCTAAGCGAGAAGGCTGAGAGCCCAGACTCTTGTCTATTAGGGGAGGAGAGGGGGGTGCCGTCTCCGACTCCTGGGATTGGGGAGGTGGGGGCTGGAGGCTCAGCCTCTTGGGGTCTGGGGGAACCATAGGGACCGGGTCCTGAACTCCTGTAACCTGAGGGAGGCGGGAGGTAGTTCTTGGACTTACGGGTCATGAAGAGGTAGGTGACTATAGTGGTCCTGGCCATGGCGATTTTTTTTTTTTTTGAAAATGGAGTCTTGCTCTGTCCCCCAGGCTGGAGTGCAATGGTGCGATCTGGGCTCACTGCAACCTCTGCCTCCCAATTTCAAGCGATTCTCCTACCTCAGCCTCCTGAGGAGCTGAGATTACTGGCTCCAGCCACCACACCTGACTAATATTTGTATTTTTTTAGTAGAGACAGGGTTTCTCTATGTTGATCAGGCTGGTCTTGAACCCCCAGCCTCAGGTGATCTGCCCGCCTCAGCCTCCGAAAGTGCTGGGATTACAGGCGTGAGCCACAGCTCCCAGCCACCCTGTGGCCTTCTTAAGTCATGGTTCTGGTCTGGGCGTCAGTTTTCCCACCCATGCAGTGGGTTAAGGGTAGAAACTGATTTTAAACACACATTCCCTTAGACAATGCCTCAGCCAGGCCTAGGTTTGCTGCCAGTGTCTGATGGAGTCTGACCTCAGTTATTCTAAATCCTCTCACCCACGTAGCCAGGGTTTACCTAGAAGCAATGGGTTTCAGTTTATCCCGGGCCACGATTAGAATGGATAGGCCTGGCCAGCCGCAGTGGGTCATGCCAGGTAAATAGATGGCTCAGGCACAGTGGTACACTTTGGCATGCTGAGGTGGGAGGGTCCCCTGAGTCCAAGAGTTTGAGACCAGCCTGGGCAACATAGTGAGATCTCGTCTCTACAAAAAAAAAAAAAAAAAGCGGGGCGTGGTGGCTCATGCCTGTAATCCCAGCAGTTTGGGAGGCCGAGGTGGGCGGATCACGAGGTCAGGAATTCAAGACCAGCCTGACCAACACAGTGAAACCCCATCTCTACTAAAAATACAAACAGTAGCTGGGCATGGTGGTGAACTCCTGCAATCCCAGTTACTCGCGAGGCTGAGGCAGAAGAATTGCTTGAACAGCGATCTGAAAGGCAGAGGTTGCAGTGAGCTGAGATTGTGCCACTGCACTCCAGCCTGGGCGACAGAGTGAGACCTTGCTTAAAAAAAAAAAGAATAGGCCTCAGTTTCCCCTGGCAGCACCTGGTGGCCAGTGTTTGGTTTTCCCGGTGGAGTGACAGGGTGGTGGTGCCTGTTTCCCTGCGTCATGATCAGAGTGGCTGGGCCTCAGTTTCTTCTGTGCAGTGCCTGGTTAGCCCCAACTGTTTCTCCTACGTGGTATCCAAGTGGCCGTGTCTCAGTTTCTCCGTTGCCTTGACGAGGCCGGTCTGTTCCTTGCCCCTCCCCGCCCCGCAGGCCCGCACCGCCGCCATGATGTGCGAGGTGATGCCCACCATCAGCGAGGATGGCCGGCGGGGCTCGGCGCTGGGCCCGGACGAGGCGGGCGGGGAGCTGGAGCGCCTCATGGTCACGATGCTCACGGAGCGCGAGCGCCTGCTGGAGACGCTGCGCGAGGCACAAGACGGGCTGGCAACGGCGCAGCTGCGGCTGCGCGAGCTCGGCCACGAAAAGGACTCGCTGCAGCGTCAGCTGAGCATCGCGCTGCCCCAGGTCTGGGCGGGGAAGGGGCGGGGCCTGAGGGGGCGGGGACTCGGTGGAGAGGGCAGTCCGGAAGGGCCCGGGCTTGGCGCCTGGAAGGGAGGAGTCTGGGAGCGGCTTGCCGTTAATGGGCGGAGCCTGAGTGGCAAGGGAGAGCGGGACTTAGCAGGGTGGGCGGGGCTTTCAAACTTCCAGTTCCAGGGAATGGAGGAGATAGGGAAAGGACTTAGCTGAATGTCCTGATCCTGCCAATGTCTGGACAGGAGTTTGCAGCTTTGACGAAGGAGCTGAACTTATGTCGGGAGCAGCTGCTGGAGAGGGAGGAAGAGATTGCAGAGCTGAAGGCGGAACGGAACAACACGCGGGTGAGGGGTGTTGAGGGCGGGGCCTAAGTGGGGGCGGGACCTTGCGTTGTAGAAATAGTGGGCGGGGCCTCGCGGCGTTGAAGCCTGACCTATTTTTCCCCCCCATCTTGCCTTCCTGTCTTCTCTTCCCTGCTTACATTTCCTGGCTGGTCTCCCACTCCGGTCCCACTCCTTCCTCCCTGTCTCCATAACTCTTCTCTCTTCTGTACCACCCCTTCCCTGACCCCGACCCCACCTCTGCTATCCTCCTCTCTTTCCCTGACCTGTCTCTCACGGTGCTCCTTTGTTTGGCTCCATGTTTTCCTCCATGTGTCCGCCCTACCTGTCACCCTTTCTCTCAACCCTGCCCCTTTTCCCTTGCCTCTTTTCCTTGACCCCATGCCCTGTGCCTGTAGCTGCTCCTGGAACACCTGGAGTGCCTCGTGTCCAGGCACGAGAGGTCACTGCGCATGACCGTGGTGAAGCGCCAGGCCCAGTCCCCGGGTGGGGTCTCCTCGGAGGTAGAAGTGCTCAAGGCGCTAAAGTCCCTCTTCGAGCACCACAAGGCCCTGGATGAGAAGGTATGAGAATTGGAAGAGCAAAGGTGGAGAACGGAAACCCTTAGTTGACTGGGGCTGTTCTGAGTGGTAGAGATTCTGGCTGTGATTGGTTGGGGATGTGCTGAGTTGGAAGAATGTTGACTGCGATTGATAGGGACAGGCTACAAAGACTGGGACCTGACTGGTTGATAGCAGAAAAATAAACCAGGATGGGGGCTACCACTGGATGGGGCAGCCTGGGTAGCTGGTTGCGGCTGCATACCGGTTATGGAGAGAGCCCAACGCTGCCCTATCAGACCCGCCCTAGGGGTGTTCTGGGCCAGGAGCAACTGTCCTAAATTGGGTTTGGTCTCCAGCTGACTATTTGCCCTGCCCCATCCCCAGGTCCGGGAGCGGTTGCGGATGGCGCTGGAGCGAGTGGCAGTGCTAGAGGAGGAGCTGGAACTGAGCAATCAGGAGGTGTGGGTGTGGCCAAGAACGGGAGGTTAAATCCAAGGGGAGGGGCTATGGGACAGCCCAGTGGGGCGGAACCGATTGGGTGGGTTCCAGAGAGAATCTACTGGGGCAGGACTAGGGCAGACAACCAATGGAGTTGGACTACGGAGAGAAACCAGTGGGTTTCCTAAGTGGGCACACATTGCGCAGGGCTCCGGGGAGAACCCAGTAAGAGTGAGATTAAGGGTAGAACTAGGGACTGGGGCTCAGGCTGGGACTAAGGAGGAAGTGATTGGATGGGGAAAGGCAGGGCTAAAGCGGAAACCTTCCCCTGGAGGCTAAGGGGAGAGAGAAGTAAGGGTAGACGCCCTCCACGGTGGCGGCTAAGAAGGGATGTAAGGAGGGTATGGGGCCTAAGAGTAGATCGTGGGGTAGGCATCGCCCCAGCAGGACCAAAGGCATTTCAGATGGGGCCCCCCATCCCCTTAGAGGGCCAGTGCCAGTGGGAAGTAGAACTGGGGGTTCAGGGAGCCCCTGTGCTCTGAATTCCCTTTGATGCTTCCAGACTCTGAACCTCCGAGAGCAGCTGTCTAGGCGGCGGTCAGGGCTGGAAGAACCGGGCAAGGATGGGGACGGGCAGGTGAGACATGGAAGTCCCCTCCCCAGGAGCTCCATTCCACTCCCTGACTTGTGATGGTGTTTGCAGTGTTTGGTGTGATCCAAACAGACGGCTGCACCTCTAAGACTGTCACAAACCTTTGACCTCTGATCCCGGTCACCTAACTTCTGTGACTGCCTCACTGACCCCGTGGACTCTGACCTGCATGATCTTTATTGATCTTTGATCGACTTTCAGCTGATTGACTTTCTCCTTGCATTCCCTCTGTGTCTCTGGGAGACACTCTGGGATGTTGTCCCTTCTTTCCCTCACTCCAGACTCTTGCCAATGGCCTGGGTCCTGCCGGGGATTCCAACCGGCGCACAGCAGAACTGGAGGAGGCCCTGGAGCGGCAGCGCGCCGAGGTGTGCCAGCTGCGGGAGCGCCTGGCGGTGTTGTGCCGTCAGATGAGCCAGCTGGAGGAGGAGCTGGGCACTGCGCACCGCGAGCTGGGCAAGGCGGAGGAAGCCAACTCCAAGCTGCAGCGCGACCTCAAGGAGGTGAGGCCCAGGGAGGTGGGCTGCCTTCCATCGCTCGCCTTTCCGTAGCCCTCTCTCTTGTGCATTGCTCATGAATGGTGGAACTTCAATTCAGTCCACAGGCGGGGTGGCTCCTCCTCTCTCAGATTTAGTTTCCTCACCTGTGAAAGGAGATGTGTGATTCTCAGAGGGTGAGCGTGTGGCACAGAGTAGGCGCTCCATGTCTGCTCGTCATCACTTTGTTACCTCTGGGTCCTTCTCTGGTGCCTCGAAATTAATTTTTTTGTTTTGTGGGGGAAAGAGTTTTGCTCCATATCCCAGGCTGGAGTGCAGTGGCATGATCTCAGCTCACTGTAACCTCTGCCTCCTGGGTTCAAGTGATTCGCCTGCCTCAGCCTCCTGAATAGCTGGGATTACAGGCGGGTGTCACCATGCCCAGCTAATTTTTATATTTTTAGTAAAGACGGGTTTCACTGTGTTGGCCAGGACGGTCTTAATCTCTTGACCTCGTGATACGCCCACTTCAGCCTCCCAAAGTGCTGGGATTACAGGAGTGAGCCACCATGCGCCCAGACTGTTTTTTTTTTTTTTTTTTTTGAGATGGAGTCTAGTTCTGTCGCCCAGGCCGGAGTGCAGTGGTGCGATCTTAGCTCACTGTAACCTCACTGTAACCTCTGTCTCCCAGTTCAGGTGATTCTCCTGCCTTAGCCTCCTGAGTAGCTGGGACTACAGGTGTGCCCCACCACTCCTGGCTAGTTTTTGCTTTGTTTCTTTCTTTCTTTGTATCTTTAATAGAAAGGGGGTTTCACCATATTGGCCAGGCTAGTCTCGAACCCCTGACCTCAAGTGATCTGCTCACATCAGCCTCCCAAAGTACTGGGATTACAGGTGTGAGCCACGTCGTCCAGCCTCTAGATGGAATCTTTTGTGGTTATTTCACCCCTTCCTGGCTTAGGACACTTTATCCTAAACCCGGTGACCCTAGGGAGCTTCTGGGATATTCAGAACTGGATCTTTATTTATTTATTTATTTATGTATTGAGATGGAGTCTCGCTCTGGAGTGCATGGTGCGATCTTGGCTCACTGCAACCTCCACCTCCCAGGTTCAAGTGATTCTCCTGCCTCAGCCTTCGGAGTCCCTGAGATTACAGGCGTTTGCCACAATGCCCGGCTTAGTAGAGCCAAGCTTTCACCATCTTGGCCAGGATGGTCTCAATCCCTTGACCTTGTGATCCACCCACCTCGGGCTTCCAAAGTGCTGTGATTACAGGTGTGCGCCACCGCACCTGGCGGGACCTGGATTCTTGACGGCAGTGGATGAGGACTAGGACTAGCCTGGGCAACATAGCGAGATCCAGTCTCTATTAAAAAAAAAAAAAAAAATTAGCCGCGTGTGGTGGCAGGTGTTTGTAGTCCCAGCCACTAGGGAGGCCGAGGCATGAGAATCGCTTGAGCTTGGGAGGTGGACGTTGCAGTGAGCGGAGATGGTACCACTGCACTCCAGCCAGGGTGATAAGTGAGACTATCAAAATCCAGCCAGGATGATAGAGCTACACTGTCCACAACAACAACAAAAGAGGCCAGGCGCGGTGGCTCATGCCTGTAATCGCGGCACTTTGGGAGGCCGAGTTGGGTGGATCACTTGAGGTCAGGAGTTCAAGCCTGGCCAACATGGTGAAACTCTGTCTCTGCTAAAAAAAAAAAATACCAAAATTAGCCAGGTATGGTGGCATTCCCCTGTAGTTTCAGATACTCGGGAGGCTGAGGCAGGAGAATTGCCTGAAACCGCTAGGTAGAGGTTGCAGTAAGCCGAGACCGCGCCACTGGACTCCAGCCTGGGTGACAGAGCAAGACTCCCTCTCAAAAAAAAAAAAAAAAAAAAAAAAAAAAAAAAGGGCCAGCGTAGTGGCTCACGCCTGTAATCCCAGCACTTTGGGAGGCCGAGGTGGGTGGATCACTTGAGGTCAGGAGTTCGAGACCAGCCTAGCCAACATGGTGAAACCCCATATTAAAGAAAAGAAAAAACGAAAAGAGAGACTTCATGTGGGATTTTAAGCCTGGATAGCCGCGGGGGCTGTTGGGAAATGTAGCATGTAGCCCACCACATGGACTACCAGATTGAGGATCCATCTCTCATGAGATCTTGGAGCACCTCTTTTGGGGTTCTAAGCCTTTGCTAACCTGGTAGCTCTTGGGAGGTGTTGCCTTCTAGGTAAAAGGGATCCTTATTTCTCAGAAGACCCCGGGACACTGGTCTTTGATTCTAAGTCTGTACTGCTCCAGAAATTAGTGAGAAATCTAAGGCCCGGGTTTTGAGGAGACGGCTGGAGTGGAGACTTCACATCCCACGGGTCTCAGACCCTGTAAACCTGGAGGATCCGAGCCTGCAGTGCCCTGGAAGCTCATGGCAGGTGTAGCACCAGCATTTTAGCTCGCAGGTGGTGGCAGGGACTGAAGATGGGCTAGTCCTGGGAGCTCTTAGCAGGTGTATTACCACCATTCTGACTCCTGTGTCAGGGCACTTGGTTTTCCAGGGCACCGCAGAGTGCCTTGTCTGCTCCCCTAGGGGCTGACAGTCCACACGGCCTTTTGCCACCTCCACCTCTGCAGGCGCTGGCTCAGCGGGAAGATATGGAGGAGCGGATCACGACGCTGGAGAAGCGCTATCTGAGTGCCCAGCGCGAGGCCACGTCTCTGCACGACGCCAACGACAAACTGGAGAACGAGTTGGCCAGCAAGGAGTCACTGTACCGGCAGGTGGGGGCTCAACCCGGGAGGGGCGATGGGGTCGTCGCCGGGGCCCAAGTGACCCAGCCTGTCCTCTCCCCGCCTCTCCCTCCCTCAGAGTGAAGAGAAGAGCCGTCAGCTGGCCGAGTGGTTGGACGACGCCAAGCAGAAACTGCAGCAGACGCTGCAGAAGGCGGAGACCTTGCCGGAGATAGAGGCGCAGCTGGCACAGCGCGTGGCGGCGCTCAACAAGGTGTGGGGACGACTCGGGTTGGGGATGGGGCGGGGTCTTGCATGGGGGGAGGGGTGGGGCCCAGAGGAGGCGGGATGGTGAATCTGGAAGGTAGGAGCCAGGTCCGAAGCCTGAATTTGGGGGAAGAGGTGGGGCCCAGGGGGCTGGGAAAGGGACAGAACTTAGAATGGGGAGAGCCTGGATGATTGCACGGGGGACAGATGAGAGCCGGGTTCTCTAACCTGGACTGAAAGGACTGGTGGCCTGGGACCTGAGAGGGAAGGACCAGGTCCTGAAAAAGTGGACTAGACGTAGGTGGGGCCTGAATCAGCGGTGCAGGGGAGGAGCCTGGTGCTTTGGGGGCGGGGCCTGGTGTCCATCCTTGGAGGAGGTGGGGCTCAGAGCCTGACTGATCCTGGAAGGGTAAAGTCACAGGCCATGGGTTCCATCCTCTAGGCCGAGGAACGTCATGGGAATTTCGAGGAGCGGCTTCGGCAGCTGGAGGCCCAGTTGGAAGAGAAGAATCAGGAGCTGCAGCGGGTGAGAGGGCAGAGGGCTGCATGGAGGGTGGGGCTTCGAGCCTGGGGCGGAGCTTAGTGGGGGTTGGGCATGGCCAGGGCGGGGCTTAGAACAAGGGCGGTGCTCTGGGCGGGGTGGGCTTGAGCACCCCCGACCCGCTCTGCTATTCAGGCCAGGCAGCGGGAGAAGATGAATGATGACCACAATAAGCGGCTGTCCGAGACGGTGGACAAGCTGCTGAGCGAGTCCAACGAGCGCTTACAGCTTCATCTCAAGGAGCGCATGGGGGCGCTGGAGGAGAAGGTGCGTCCCAACCCAGGACTGTGGGGACTCGGAATTCTGGGAATACCTGTCGGTGGAATCCTGGGTCCTCAGGCCTTTCCCCCAGATCTATTATTGGAGGCCTCCCTAAACCCCAGCATTTTGAGTTGGGCAGGCTTCTGTGCTCTATTGCGCAGACCGCTTTTTCACCTATTCTAGACGTTCCAAGAGCCGAATTCTGCGGATCATGCCTTGAGTCCTTGACTTTTTCCAAAGCCTCCAACCCCATGGGCCCCCAACCCTGAACCCTCTGAGATTGCACAGGATGTCCCATCCTGAGGCTCCTCTTCCCAGAAACATTGTTGCCCCTGCTCGCCTGAAACTCACCATTTGTGTCCATCTCATTCCTCCTGGGTCCCCTCAGGCCTATCTGTGCTCATTGGGAGCTGCCTGCAGCTCCAAGGGCGTGCCCCCCTCAGGCCCCACCTCCTCACTTCACCTCTGTCCCCACAGAACTCTCTGAGCGAGGAGATTGCCAACATGAAGAAACTTCAGGATGAGCTGCTTCTAAACAAGGTAGGGTGCCCCGGGGGAACAGCAGGAGGATGTAGGGCAGGGGTTGCCGAGGCTATGGTCCACAAGGCTGGCAGGGGCTGTTCCTCCCGGGTGGAGCAGATGCTAACCCGACACCTCCAACCCCGACCCCCAGGAGCAGCTCTTGGCCGAAATGGAGCGGATGCAAATGGAGATCGACCAGCTGCGAGGGAGGCCGCCATCCTCCTACTCCAGGTGACAGCAGCCCTCCTGTCCTGCCTCTGCCACTGAGCCCTGTTGGCCAAGCTCCTCCCTTCTGATCCCCACTTCCTGTCCTCCCAAGACTTCCACTGACCCCTCTTTTTTTTTTTTTCCTGGACACAAAGTCTTACTCTGTCACCTAGGTTGGAGTGCAGTGGCACCATCCTGGCTCACTGCAACCTCTACCTCCCAGATTCAAGCGATTCTCATGCCTCAGCCTCCCAGGTACCTGGGACTACAGGCATGCGTCATCACAGCTGGCTAATTTTTGTAGTTTTAGTAGAGATGGGGTTTCGCCATGTTGGCCAGGCTGCTCTGGAACCCCCAACCTCAAGTCATTCTCCACCTTGGCCTCCCAAAGTACTGGGATTACAGGTGTGAGCCTCCATGTCTGGCCCCTCTGATTTTTGACCCTGACTTCATTTTTTATTTCTTTCTTTCTTTTGAGATGGAGTCTGGCTCTGTTGTCCAGGCTGGAGTGCAGTGGTGCAATCTCAGCTCACTGCAACCTCTACCTTGCCTATTCAAGCACTTCTCCGGCCTCATCCTGTGGAGTGGCTGGGATTACAGGTGCCCATTACCATGTTGGGCTAATTTTTTTATTTTTAGTAGAGACAGGGTTTCACCATGTTGGCCTGGTCTTGAACTCCAGACCTCAAGTGATCTGCCCACCTCAGCCTCCAAAAGTGCTGGGATTACTGGCCTGAGCCACCCAGCCCGACCCCTTGGCTCTGACTTTATGACCCCGACCCTAGGTCTGTCTCTGCGACCCATTACCTCTGTGCCCTTTTCCTGACCCCTTGGCCCCTGACTGCCTTCCTTATGCCCACAGGTCTCTCCCTGGCAGTGCCCTGGAGCTCCGTTACTCTCAGGCACCCACATTACCTTCTGGTGCCCACCTGGATCCCTATGTGGCCGGCAGTGGCCGGGCAGGCAAGAGGGGCCGCTGGTCGGGGGTCAAGGAGGAGCCTTCCAAGGTTAGCAGCTGCCTCTGGGGCCTGGACTGGGCAGGGCTTGGGCTGGCAGTGGTAGGAAGTGGAGCTAAAGCCGTGGGGTTCTAGGAGGAAGCTGGGTTGAGAGGCAGGATCTCCTGGACTCACCCACTCACCGTTTCTTCTCTCCTTCCCCGCAATGGTATCATCCGCTCTTGTCTGGATTTCTCCTCACATGGATGTACTGCCACCTGGTGAGAACCTGACAGTAATGATGAGACGGGGAGGGGCGTGTAGAATCCCAGAGTGGGCGGGGTTAGGTGAAGAACATGAGCGGGCTGAGTCTTAGTAATCAGGGGAGAGGGTGGAGTCATGCATGGGTGTGGGTGTGGCTTAGGTTTGTGGGAGGAAGAACAAGGACCTGTTAAGAGGGGAAGTTGGAGGCTGGGCACGGAGGCTCACACGCCTGTAATCCCAACACTTGCGGGTGCTAAGGCAGGCAGATCACTTGAGGTTAGGAGTTCGAGAGCAGGCTGGCCAACATGGTGTCTCTACCAAAAATGCAAAAGTTAGCCAGGCGTGGTAGTGGGCGCCTGTAATTCCAGCCACTCAGGAGACTGAGGCAGACGAGTCGTTCGAACCTGGGAGGCAGAGGTTGCAGTGACCCAAGATCGCGCTACTGCGCTCCAGCCTGGGCGAAAGAGTGAGACTCTGTCTCAAAAAGAAAGAAACAAAAATAGTGTTGGGCCGAGAAAAACATCAGTGAGGTCGGACAAGGTGAGGGTTATGAGTGAAGACCCAGCGCCAGCCTCGGCCCCCGCCCACCTTATGTTCCTCTGTCCCCACACAGGAACAGGATTGGGAGCGATCTGCCCCTGCAGGCTCCATACCACCCCCGTTCCCTGGGGAGCTGGATGGCTCCGATGAGGAGGAGGCGGAGGGGATGTTTGGGGCGGAGCTGCTGTCCCCGAGTGGGCAGGCTGACGTGCAGACGCTGGCCATCATGCTTCAGGAGCAGCTGGAGGCCATCAACAAGGAGATCAAGTGAGTCGTGGCCCTGCCCCACCTGAGCTGACTCCATAGTCCTTCTGGCTCTGGAGATCCTGAAAGCCTGAGTCCATCTCCTCTTACACCATCAAGGAATTATTCCAGCCCAACACTCGCTTCACTGTCCAGGCACCCCCTAGGATATACCTGGAAGTCTTCCATGTGGTACCTGTACATATATCTCCCTGCCAGTACTCACCAGTCCCCAACACACCAAAGACTGCATCCCAGAGTACCCCAGTTCCCCTCGATGCATCGACAATCTTCCATTGCACCATGAATTTTGTGGCTTCACATAACCAATGCCCAGAGTCTCCTACCACCCCAGGAATCTCAAGACAACACAAGGTTCTCAACCCCTAACACCAAGAATCTCATCCTAACACATTAATCAATACCTTCAGCTCCATATTCCAAGAATTTTTAATATAAAAAAGTCCTCCACTGGGCTTGGTGGCTCACGTCTATAATCCCAGCACTTTGGGAGGCCGAGGCAGGCAGATCACCTGAGGTCAGGAGTTTGAGACCAGCCTCGCTAACATGGTGAAACCCCGTTTCTACTAAAAACACAACAAATTAGCTGGGCGTGGTGGCACATGCCTGTAATCCCAGCTACTCGGGAGGCTGAGGCAGGAGAATTGCTTGAACCTGGGAGGCAGAGGTTGCAGTGAGCCAAGATTGTGCCATTGCCCTCCAGCCTGGGCAACAAGAGCGAAACTCCATCTCAAAAAAAAGTCCCCAACTCATTAAGAAGCCCTCAGTGATGTAAAGTCTACCCGGATTCACAAGCAACGCCCATAGTCGGCAATTCTTCTGCAACACACTTCCCAGGAGCCTTTGGCAAATATACCAACGTGACACGTGACCACGGCCTTCCATCCACACTCTGACTTGACGTTCCATTCTCACATACCGAAAGACTCCATCCTCTTCCCAGCTCCTGGATTAACCCGAGTCCCTGATCTCACACTGTTCCTGTTACGACCTTGCTCTTGCAGACAATCTTGAACTTGACCTTTTCTCCATAGTAATCCCTTCATGATTTTCCAAACCACTTGGCGATCCTATCAGGGCCACCCTGATGCAGACCCCAGTCACCTTGACAGCTCTAATCCTGCCATGACTTCCTGAGACTATCATGACCCCTTGACTCTCCTTGAGTCTGGGAGGCCTTCAGAAACCCACTGAGGCCCTTTGACGTCATTGCACGTTCCCTAGAATGCCCCTTGCCCCACCAAGCCTTTCCAGCCCATCGCCTTCTGGATCCTCTCTCCTGCTGTCTGCTGCAGCTCCCTACCCCATTTCCTCTATTTCCCTCCTCAGGCTGATCCAGGAGGAGAAGGAAACAACAGAACAGAGGGCAGAGGAGCTGGAGAGCCGGGTGTCCAGCTCCGGCCTGGACTCATTGGGCCGCTACCGCAGCAGCTGCTCCCTGCCTCCCTCCCTCACCACCTCTACCCTCGCCAGCCCCTCCCCTCCCAGCTCTGGCCACTCAACACCCCGCCTGGCACCCCCTAGCCCTGCCCGTGAGGGCACCGACAAGGCTGTGAGTGTTCTGAAGTCTCCCCGGCCTGGTAGGGGGAAGGGAAGAGGTCAGAAGCAGGGCTCCCCAGAGAACAGCAGTGATAACCCCTCCCACCAGTGGTTTTCCAAAGCAACTTTAGCTTTCCCTAAAGGTTCAAACTCAAAGGGCAAAGGCGAGGCTGAGTCACTGGGTTCTTGAACCTTAACTTTTGCTTTAGTCAGTTCTGATCTATTTTTATTTCTTATGCATCAAGTTTCTGCATAGGATTAAAAAAAAAAAAAAAAAGGTTGGGCACAGTGGCTCATGCCTGTAATCCCAGCACTTTGGGAGGCCGATGCAGGTGGATCAGGAGGAGTTCAAGATCCAGTTGGTGAAACCCCGTCTCTACTAAAACAAAAAATTAGCTGGGCGTGGTGGCAGGTGCCTGTAATCCCAGCTATTCCGGAGGCTGAGGCAAAGAACTGCTTGA